CCCAAACAAAGTCCAAAACCAGATCTTTCCTTGTATTTGCTTGAACGTACTTTTACTGTAATTGTTGATCACTAGATTTTTCATTCCTTCCCCTTCTTCTGGATCCCCTGCTTCTCTTTCAGTAAGCAGCAATATCCAAATCACTTCATATTTTAACTTGTAATCCGATTCTATCCACTTTTTGCATCTAAATTTCGCTGGTATATTTTCCTTGTCACTATTTTTCTGTTATTGTGGTTTTGTTCCCTAGTTATCCCGTTGTTTTCTCTGTTTTGTTTTATTTTTTTTTTTTTTTTTTTGGGTTCAGATCTATTTTTTCTGTAAGGGGTTGAGAATGGAAGAAGCTGCAGGGAATGCTGTTTTAGAAGTTGGAAAGTGTTTAGCTGCTCCTATAGGGCGTCAATTTATGTACTTGTACAACTACAAAAGCAACTTTGAAAATCTCGAGAAAGAAATTATAGAGCTGAAGGATGCAAGAGATGACGTGAAGCATAAGGTTGTTGCAGCTGAAATGAACGTGGAGAAGATCAAACAGAAGGTTAAAGACTGGCAGAGGGGTGTGGATTCCATCATTGATGAAGCAGAGAAGTTGATTCAAGAGAAAACAAACAGCCGATGTTTCAACTTGATCACCTGTTACAAAAATAGCAGGAAAGCATCAAAAATGGTGGAGGCTGTAACTGAAATCCTGCGGGAAAAAGAAACATTCAGTGAAGTTTCCCTTCCTACCACTCGTGAAGACATTCGGCTTAGGCTTACGAACAAAGATTACGAGGAATTTGAATCAAGACTCACAACTTTGAATGGTGTGTTGAACGCTGTAGAAGATGCTGAGGTGGGCATTATTGGGGTTTTCGGAATGGCTGGCATTGGCAAAACCACGCTGGTCAAAGAAGTTGGTCAGCAAGCCAAGAAAAAACAGCTCTTTGATGAGGTGATTTTCGTAGAGGTATCTGATAAACCAGACACTAAAAAGATTCAAGATGAACTTGCAAATCAGTTAGGTCTGGAATTTGAGGAGGAGGCAGAAAGAGCAAGCAAGTTGTATGAAAGATTGAAGACAGATAAGAAAATCCTTGTAATTTTAGATAATATCTGGGAAGAATTAAATTTGGAGGCTCTCGGAATTCCTTGTGGAAATGATCGTGGGGGATGTAAAGTATTGCTAACAGCAAGAGATCTTAATGTGTTAGTGAGTATGGATTCTGTAAAGTATTTCCTGGTGGGTATTTTAACTGAAGAAGAAGCTTGGAGCCTGTTTAGAAAGATGGCAGGTAATCAAAGTTACAGAATTTTCAAATTTTCTTACATATTTTATTAATTTCACAATATTAATACTTATATCATAGTCTTGGCCCCTTCAAATCTGTAGAAAAAGTTTGATTAATTTGGATTCATGGACATAAATTTTTTACTTTATACTTACATCACCTTTTATGGTTTTACATGGAAAATAAATAAATAAATGTGCCAAACTTCGTTGCTCGATTTCACTTTATACTTTGTTATATATCTATCAATTTGATAAAGAGATATAGCAATTATTTATTATCTAAGCACGTAATGTACCATCTAAAGTTAGCGTAGCAAATTCAAAAGTAATTTTGAAACATTTTTTAACATATGCAGTATATATTTTTGCCCCTTTGACCAGCAATCCAACTCCCCCTGCAGGTGATGTTGTTGATCATTCAATTATTAAGCGGAATTATCTGCCGAAAGACATATGTAAGGAATGCGGAGGTTTGCCAATCGTCATTACCACGATAGCAAGAGCGTTAAGGAACAAGAGATTTCGATCTCAATGGAAAGATGTTTTGCGACAACTGAAAATGCCTTCCCCGACAAATTTTGCAGGGTTACTGGAAAAGGACTACTCAAAGATAGCATTGAGTTACAATTATCTACAAGGTGATGAACTCAAGAGAACTTTTTTAGTTTGTAGTATGATGGTAAATGATACTACCATTTCAGACTTGCTCAAATACATTATGGGTTTGGATATTCTTGAAGTAGTCAATCTTACAATGGAAGAAGCACGAAATAGAGTAGAAACTCTTGTGTGTGAACTTAAGAACTCTTGTTTGTTACTTGATGGGCGAACCAATGAACATTTTTCTATGCATGATGTCGTTCGTACAGTTGCCATAAGAATTGCATATACAGATCACCATGTATTTACTGAGCGAAATGACATTGCGAGGGAATGGAGTAATAAAGATGAATTGAAAAAGTGCTCAAAAATCTCGCTAGCTGATACTAGTGTGATTAGTGAGCTTTGGCCTGAAGTTTTGGATTGCCCAAAACTTGAATTTTTCAGTATGAGGATGAAGGGTTCTTCCTTCAAAATCCCTGAGGAATTTTTTGTAGGGATGGGTAACCTCAAAGTTCTAAGTTTACTTAACATGAAGGTGTTGTCCTTGCCGTCGTCTCTTAGTCTTCTAATAAATCTTCAAACATTATGTTTGAATTATGGCAATTTTGCAGATATAACAATTATTGGAGAGTTGAGACAATTGAAAATTCTTAGCTTGCAACATTGTAAGATTAAGAAATTGACAAGAGAAATAGGTAACTTGACTCAACTAAGGTTGTTAGATTTAAGTAATTGTTGGAATCTACAAGTTATCGCTCCAAATGTTATATCATGCTTATTGCGATTAGAAGAATTGTATATGAGTGGATGCTCTATTCTATGGAAGGTTGAAGGACTTGAGGAGTTGAAGCATTTGTCTCAACTGACAGCTTTAGAAATAGACATTTCTGGTGATAAGATTGTGCCAAAAGACTTGTTGTCCAAAAAGCTTGAAAGGTACAAAATATCAATAGGATATGGGTCATCTAATTTTGGTAGGGATTACATATATGGTGATGGTGGGAAGTACATGGATATTGAGAGCTTTTCATATGATGAGCATGCCACATTAAGAACGCTGAAACTGAAATTCAGTTCTGTCATAAAAATTTGGCCAGAGCAATTTCAGTGCTTAAAGAATGTTGAATTCTTATGCTTAGACAACTTGGAGGGTATCGAGAATGATGTTTATGAATTAGACAAGGAGGGTTTTTCACAATTAAAACATCTCCATGTCCATAATGATCCTAACATCATGTGCATTGTTGACTCAACAAAGTGCATACCTTATGGTGCCTTCCCCCTCTTGGAGTCTGTAATTCTTTTCAACTTGATTGACTTGAGATATATATGTTATGGTCACCCCACAACAAAGTTTTTCTACAACTTAAAAGTTATAGAAGTGCAAAGTTGTGCTAAATTGGAAAATATCTTCTCCTTCTCCAATGCTAGTCAAAGTCTTCCACATCTTCAAAGAATTAGGGTGGAAGACTGTGAGAATATGAATGAGATTTTTGCTGTTGAAAGAGAAGACAGAGTAAACAAGAATGAAGTGATTGATAAGATTGAATTCTTTCAATTACGCTTCTTGACTTTGATTAATCTTCCAAGGATTACAAACTTCTACTCAGAAGCAAATACACCTTCAACATTGCAAACCAAGCAGGTGGAATCATCAATTAATTTGCAGTCCAATGAAATCTATTCCAAGGATGAGCAAGTTGATACCGTCACACCAATTTTTAACGAAAAGGTACTTTGGTTTATTATAACCTTCTACTTATCTATTATTAGTCTACATTTTCTTTATATTATTCTTATCCTTTTGCTCAATCCCTTGTCGTGATTTAAAATTTATGTTAAATCTCTTTACTAAATTTTTCTTGTCAATGTTTAGACGTTTAAAACTAACTTTGTAGATACAATTTGTGTGTCTATATAGTATGTTGTTTTATCAGATGGCATATTGTGATAAATATTTCCATGATTGATACACAAAAGAGAGCTTTATAACATTAATGGCATGTCATATACATTAACTAGTGAAAAACAGTTATTGTTTCTCTGCTTCATATTGTAAAATACTGAAACAAAAATCAAAACTTTTGAGCAGGTTAATTTCCCTAGTTTGGAGGCCTTAGAACTTGGAGCAATCAATTCTGAAAAGATTTGGGACAACCAACTTCCGACAATATCTTGTGGCTATAAAAATTTGAAAAGCTTGATTGTGCATGGCTGTCAAAAACTAAAATATGTATTTCCATCTTCTATAATCAAAAGCTTTGAGCAGCTCCACCACCTTCAAATAAGTGATTGTAAGGAATTGAAGGAGATTGTCACAAAAGAGGGGGGAGTAGAAGCAACTATTACATTTATCTTTCCCCGGGTAGCCTTCCTAAAACTTGAAGACTTGCCAGAACTTACAACTTTCTATCCTGGTAAACACACTTCAGAATGGCTAATGTTAAAGAATTTGGAGGTGCGTAATTGTCACAGACTACACATATTCACTTCAGAATATAAGGTACGATCCTTTTTTTATCTTAAGAATAATAAGAAAGAAATAATAATTTTTGTCTTACAAGAGTGCATTTATTTACAAAGCTATAATTCCGTTTTTCATTTATTTATAAAATCTCTTGAAAATCTTTTTGAAAATGAATAAAGAAAAAAAATATAATGAATAAACCTAGTACTGTATATATTTTTAAGATTTGCTAATGTTCTTAGTATCATTTTATAGAAAAAAACTTTTAATGGCAGGTTGTTATCCCCAATTTGGAGGCCTTAGAACTGAGTTCATTTAATTATGAAATGATCTTGGATAGTCAAGTGGCGACAATGTCTCATTGCTATCAAAATTTGGCACGCTTGATTGTGGTTGGATGTGAAAAACTAAAATTTGTATTTTCATCTTCTGTGGTCAAAAGCTTTGACCGGCTTGAACACCTTGAGATATGCAATTGTAGGGTTTTAAAGGACATTATTGGGAAAGGAGTAGAAGCAACTCCTACATTTATCTTTCCACGAGTAACCTTTCTACAACTCAAAGACTTACCAGAACTCGCAACATTCTATCCTGGAGTTCATACTTCTGAATGGCCACTGTTAAAGAAGTTGGTAGTGTGTAATTGTGACAAAATAAAAATATTCACTCCAGAATATATGAGCTTCCATGAAAACAATAAGGGTCAACTTGATATTTGGGAGCAACAATCCCTCTTCTTGGTCCAAAAGGTAAGTGTCATTTTTTTCTTTCTTTAATTTTTTCTAAATAAACTAACATAAAAAATAAATATATCTTAAATTTTTTCTTTACCAATGCATCGATTCAAAATATTTTCCTCATTTATATAAAGATTACTTGATATTCATGTCTTGAATTGTTTGAGAGAGTTCAACTTCAACTTGATTTTGTTTAATTGATCTGTAGATTAACCCCAATTTGGAGGAATTAACATTAAGCAGAGTGGACGACCTGGTAACATTGCAACATCAATTTCTAGGAAACTTCTTTAGCAGATATACAGTTGAGATCAAAGGCGATAGATCTACAAATATTCCAGTTGGCATCCTTCAAAGATTGAATAGTCTGGAAAAACTCATACTGAGAGACGGTTCATACAAGGAAATATTTACATGTGGAGAGGATGAGAAACGTACAGAGGCATTGATGCAGATAAAAAGTTTGAAGTTGAGCAATCTTTCTGATGTGAAATACTTGTGGAGGAATGACTTCAAATTGGACGTTGTTCTTCAAAATCTTGAAGTTCTAGAAGTGAGTTACTGTGACAGAATGATAAATGTGCTACCATCCTCGACATCTTTCCAAAATTTAACAGTTTTGAAAGTAAGTTATTGCTTCGGATTGATAAACATAGTCACGCCATCTGTAGCAAAACATTTGGTAGAGTTGAGAGAAATGGCAATAGAATATTGCCCGCTGATGATAGAAATAGTATCGAATGAGAAAGATGTGGCAGTAGAAGATGAAATTGTTTTCAGCAAATTGAAGTTGTTGTCACTAAAATATTTACAGAGTCTCACATGCTTCTACCCTGGGAAATACACATTGAACTTCCCATCTTTGAAAGAATTAACTGTGGAAAGATGTCGCAGGATGAAGTCTTTCTCTGGGGGAATCTTAATCACACCAAGTTTATTGAAAGTTCAACAAAATGAATGCGATAAAGACGAATGGAGTTGGGAAGGTGACCTTAATACAACTATACAACATATGTACAAAGAAGAGGTATGTATTCTGTTAACAATTTTTTATTTTTTTATTTTCTTATTCCCCTTCAAACTTGAATCTTTGACCATATAGGTAAAGTTTATTTATAAAAAAATATTAAATATTAAAATTTAAATGCAAATAAAATTAATAAATATTGAAAACATAGAAGTTTAAAAACTTATAGAATATAATAAATAATAAAATGTTCAGTGAAAATATAATAAATATTCTTTATAGTACCATTAAATTTGTCCTGCCCATTTCATGCTAAATCAAATTAGATTTTGACATGAATTAAAGTTACAGCTATTTGCATGACACCTGGTTTGTCTACATTCAAAATATATATCTCGAAAAAAAAAAAAAAAAATACAGTCAGCTGTTAAAATAAAAAAAATCCGAAAATAGAAGAAATTAAAAAATTAAAAACCCAAAAAATGGAAGGTAATCCATTCTCTACTTTGTGAAATGCTGCATCATCAACGATACGATCTACCATCAATTCAATAGAAAAATTGATATTTCATTTGAGGTTCAATGTTGAAAAAAAAAATGGATGAAAGAAGTTTGGGAAGAGGAAGAGAAGGTGCTCAGTATAATTTAGAATGGATAGAGAGATTATCTTCAAGTTAATCTCAGATCTACCTTCTCTTCTCTTCTCTACCAACAGATTTTGAGGAAAAGCAGATTCATTTCACCTAATACTTACAAGCTGCCAGTTAGGGATTTGTGCGAGCTTTCGCCTTTACTTATAGAAAGAAGAGGGCTGTTTGTCTCTTAAATTACTTAGGTGCCCTCAGCAATTTTCTAACTGAAACGCCGCGTTTTAAGGCGAATGGTGAGCTATATATGAGTGTATGTGGAATTTTTATCACTTTTGAGTGGGACAAAATGCTTAGAATTGTTATAATTCAGGATTAGCTAGAGAAATTACAAGAAGTTATCAGCTCTAGATGATAGTAAGTTGAAACGTTATGCTATTATTGGTATCCGTGATAATATTATAGGTATGAGTTACATCATCCGAAATCATTTGGTGCAATATCTATTTTATAATTTTTTTTTTTTTTTCTTAACTCAATGAGTTGGTTGAACACAAGACCTTTAGGTAACCTAAAATTTATAAATATTGAAAACATAGAAGATTAAAAACTTATTAAAGATAATAAATAATAAAATACATATTGAAAATAATAAAATTCACTGTATTACCATTAAATTTGTCATGTCCTAATTCAGAGGAGACCTATGGCAATTTCCTTAATTGCCTTGCCACCGGCTTTGCTCAGTGCTTACTAGACATAAATTAAATTAGATTTTGACATAAATTAAAGTTATATAGTACAATTGCTATTTGCATGACACCTAGTTTGTCTACATTCAAAATATATATTTTTTTCTACTTGCTTTTGATTTTAAAAAAAATATAAAAAATTATTACATACCGTGTGAAATGTTAAAGAGAATATTAATTTTTATATTATTTATACGATTGATCTTCAGGTTAACTCCAATTCGGAATTGATTACACTAAGTGGAGAGGACATCACCTCCAATTCGGAATTGATTACACTAAGTGGAGAGGACATCACGTCTATATGGCAAGACCAGTTTCCAGAACATCAGTTTTCCAAAGTGAAAGTTCTTGAGATCATTAAGGATGATTCAGCACACTTTCCAATGGAAGTCCTTGAGGGATTTAACAATCCCATAAAACTGATACTAACATTGTGTTCATACAAAGAGATTTTTTCATGTGGAGAAGATGAGAAATGTGTTGGGATGCTCAAACAGATAAAACAATTGGAGCTATGCGGACTTTTTAATTTGAAGGACATTTGGAAACAAGACTCTCATTTGGATTCAATTTTTCAAAATCTTGAAATGCTATATGTTGATCGTTGCCACACTTTGATTAATCTAGTGCCATTTTCAGCGACCTTTGAGAATCTAACAACACTATGGATACAGTGTTGCGATGGGTTGATAAACTTAGTGTCATCTTCAATAGCCAAAAGTCTGGTGCGACTCGAAAAAATGTCAATATGCCATTGTGGACTGATGACAGAAGTAGTATCAAATGAGGGAGATACAGAAAGCAATGAAATCGTTTTCGACAAATTGAAGTCATTGTCACTTTTTAATTTAAAAAGTCTTACAAGTTTCTGTTCTGGGAATTACACATTCAAATTCCCATTTTTGGTATACTTGGATGTGGAAGGATGCCCCAATATGAACACATTCTCTGGAGGAGACTTAAGCACACCAAATTTAGGCAAAAGAGAGCTGATTTGGTATGACGATGAAAATTGTTGGGAGGGTGACCTTAATACTACTATACAACATCTTCACAGGAAAGTGGTAAGTACTCAGTGAAGAATTACTTTTATCTGGAATTTATTATTCCCGTGAACACTTGAACACTTAATAATATATATATTTTAAAATATATACTTATAATCATTGTTGCTAGAACACTATCATAAAAGGTCAAGAACTCTCAAGTAGACAAAAGCTACAAATTTTTTAATTTAATAACATCATGATCATGAAAATAATTTCTTTTTCTTGGATTAACTATCATTACTTTATAGTTCAAAATAACAGTCCCTGCAGTTACTATTTCCGTTTTCAACATTTTGGGATTTATATTTACAGTACATTCAAAGTTCTAAAAAAGATTCGGGTCAAACTTCGATAAAATCTCCATAATAAAGGCTCTTTATTATTGTTGTATGTAGTTTGTGAGACATTATTTCGGCTCAAATTCCCTTTGTTGAGGTCAGATTGTTTTTAGCTTTATTGTTCTGCTTTAGCTTTCCTTCGTTGTGAATTTGATGCTTTGAAAGTGGATAAAAAACTTGATTCTTTCTTGATTGTGTATTGGTGATATTTAATTTGTTTTAAGATTTGTTTGGACTGCTTAAACATCGAGTGGTTTGATATCTGTACATGGCAGGTTGGTCAGAAATTTCCAGGCAGCTCTTCCAATAGTGCTTGAACAACAGAAATGTGTCCTCCTGTCCAAAACACAAAGAAGTTGAGTTTTTAGTTAATGCATTTTATACTTTATGGACAAAGGAAGTATCCTGCTGCTTCGTAATTTGGTGGTCTTATCCAGAATCCTAACAAAATTTTGTGTTAATACTTGTGGAAATTATGCAGGGGTTAAGTTATGGAGAGAATAATCCCAAAAGACACAAAAACTGCAGTTTCATGTTTACCCACAATTGATTACCTTTCAATGCTTTGATTCCAATCTCCACCGTTCAGAATGCAGAGTTGTGTCTCATGAACAACATATCCAAAAATCAGAACGATCGGACGGCAAACGAACTCCAGATCACGATTTGATGATACACTGTTCACAGACTCAAATCTCATATTTCTTCTCCGTTTCTCTTTGTTTTTGCCTCACTCTCTGGATGATGGCTCGCTAGAAAGGACAGCCACTGGAGGAGAACACTCACTCTCTCACGTTTTTGACTGCTGGACAATGAAGAAGATGAAGATAAGATGGAGTTGTTTTGGCCTAATTTGTTGAACTACTCACCTCCAATCTCCATATGGGAGACAATGAGGTAAGCCCAACCCAACACCAGTTGCTACTGACGTTGTGCCACTAGAAGTGCTACTTCCCGTGCTTGCAAAAGTTGACGTCCCCCCCAAAAAGCATGGTGGTAGAAGTACCAAAGCTGGGCTCCTTGATCTTCGGTTAGTAGGGCCTCTGCCTCTCCTTCTCTCTCGAGCTCTGCTACTGGCACCTTTGGTTTTAAAGGTAGTAACTTCATCTCGCTCTCCAGCTGTACACTTCTTCAATCTTCCTTCACCGATTCCATTGTTCAATTTGAAAGCAAACTATTTTATGAAATTTCTTGTTTTTATTTACTTTTGTTTGTTATGTTTTAGAAGGCTAATATTGAGATCAGATAGAGTACTCAATGGATTTTGCAAGACTGAAGCTCGTATTCCAATGCTTCTTGTAGTTTCTCTTAACAAGTGGATTGATGCCGTTAACTTTAGTCTCCGTTATTTTGTTTATCAAGGGAGAAAGCGTATTGCAAATTTGTTACACAAATAGAAAGAGAGATTAATGTTGGGATTGAAGAGTCCTGTTCAGACTGGATTTTCTTCAAACCACTAAATTAATATGTGTCAAGATATTTTTAAATTTTGACTAGACTGATGCAAAATTTTTTCCTTTTCTTTCCATTTTTCTTTTCCTATTTTTCTTTTCCTTTGTTCTTCTTCCTCTTATTCTCCCCCTTCCCTCACCATTTTCTTTCCCCCTTTTCATTCTCAAATCCGCTGCTGCTGCTGCAGAGGCCACTAGACGCGGCAGCCTGATATAGGGGTGCCTATCCAATAGGAGCCTTTATGAATCTTTCTTTATGCTTGGTGTCTTTGAGAATGAAGCGCTGCGTTTTAAGGGCGAATGGTGAGCTACAGCTATATACAATATTCTTCTTCACCTAACTCTTGTCTACCTGCTCTGTCATTGCTTATTAGGTTGAAGAAAAGATTGATCAAGGAATAAACCAAGTCCGGAGAATTTTAGACAACCAAATAGTAGACTTTTTCCCCGGTTCTCCGGCCAAATGCCTTTAACCAATGTATATTTCCTTGTTCAAAACCTCCCTTAACACAGAAGCAATATTAGTGGAATAATGATCAGGTCTACCTGCAAAACTTGTCTTCCTACTAATTCTATTCATATAATAAGATTGAGTCAGTTGGTTTGTTCTTTCTTTTATTCCAATTTGAGTTGCAAATCCATGGTTGGTTCTAGTTATTCATCTAAATTATCTAGAAATCTATGACTTAACACTACAGAAGCTTCTTTGTTACTCATAACAATGAATAAACAAATCCTTAACAGGGTAGGGTATACACTCAAGCAAAAGTTTGTAAGCGGACAGAAAATGGTAACTTTAGTTTGAAATGTTGCTGAGATTACATCTGTTTTCTTCTAAATTTGTCAAGTGCGAATGAAGGTACAGAAAATTTAATGGTTAGAATTTGTTCAAGCCACCGTATAACTCGCTGAATGACATTTTGAACAATTCATTCTTGCTTCTGAAGAACAATCTGTCCACTGCCATTGCATCTCTGCATAGAATAACCTTTCTCTAATGTACTTACATGCATGTTTACGTTAAGGTAGCCATCTTTAAACTTCAACTTGAAGAAATCGGCTACAGGCCACCTATTTCGTTGACCTTTCATGTGGGCTGGCCATATATAATAAGCCACTTCCAGCTTTGTTGTATCAGCATATTGTTCAACTTTGCTTCATTCTTTCATTAAACCTTAGTTTATTCAAACTTTAATTCTTTGCATTTCTATCGAGACCAAACATCAAGCACATGCGCACATGGGTTCTTCTGCAATGAAGATTTATAGTTATGTTAACATTCTTTTGGTTGCATTTGTTTTTGCTTCTTTCATGGCTATGGCTACTGCCACCACAAACTCCACAGACATAGCATCCGCCATTCTCTTAAGAGTCGATCAGTCGGGAAAAGGAGACTTTAAGAAGATACATGATGCCATTGATGCTGTTCCTTCTAATAATAAAGAATTTGTTTTCATTTGGGTTAAGCCAGGAACATACAGGTTTGTATATAGCTAAATGAAGATAACATCTAATTTATATCGTCTATAGCTCTTGAATTATGGAGCTCTGTTGTTTTATAAATCTTAACTTTTTTTTTTGTGTTTAAACAGAGAAAAGATTGTTGTACCGGCCGATAAGCCCTTCATTACAATAAGCGGCACAGCGCCTTCTACTACTATAATAACATGGGGTGATGGTGGAGACATTTTCGAGTCTCCAACATTCACAGTGTTGGCTTCTGATTTTGTTGCACGATATCTGACAATTGAGGTATTGGTTTGTATTACATACACAAATTTTGCCCTAGTCGAAACTAATAGAATTTGAGGTAGACTTGACTTCTCACCCAATAAGGTCTTATTGAATGAGAGGATTATCCCCTTTTGTAAACCAATAGGCTTAAGCGTGTCTAGTCGATGTGGGGTTTCAACACTTCTCCTCACGATCAAGCTTATATGTTGGGTCATGTCTGCTGATGGAGGTAGTTGTTGGCTCTCACTCTTCACCCATTGGTCAAGCACTCAGCTCAACTAGGCTTAACTCTGGTACCAAGATAGAATTTGAGGTGGGTTTGACTCCTTATTCAATAAGATTTTATTAAATAGAAGGATTACCTCCTCTTATATACCAGTAGACTTGAGTGTGCCTAGTTCATATGGGGCTCTAACGAAAACTAAAACATGCTTAGTCATTGCACTGCATGCTTATTATGCATTTGAATTGAATCATTAAGCTGTATATTTCATTTGAAAGGAGTTCATTCTGCACATCCAAATCATATGTAAGTTCAAGCACTAATAACTTGTCCAAAATTGCATCTTGGCTAATATTTACAGAACACATTCGGATCAGCTGGGAAAGCTGTTGCACTAAGAGTCTCAGCGAATAGAGCTGCGTTCTACGGCTGCAAGATTACGTCTTACCAAGATACTCTCCTGGATGATACTGGAAGCCACTATTACAGTAACTGTTACATTGAAGGAGCCACCGATTTCATATGTGGAAATGCTGTCTCCCTCTTTGAAGTGAGTGCTCTCCTTAGGCTACATAGATACTTCTCAGATGCCACAACTTATTACTTTCACTTTAAATTTACTGCATATACCAATAAGTTGATTCAACTCATTTATAAAACTATTTTATGTGTTCATCAGAGGTGCCATATTCATTCCCTTTCTAAGGTGAATGGATCTATCACTGCTCAACGAAGAATGTCACCTTCAGAGAACACTGGTTTCACTTTCTTGGGTTGCAAGATATCCGGTGTTGGCACTGCCGCGCTTGGAAGGCCATGGGGTGCTTATTCTAGAGTAGTATATGCCCTAACCTACATGTCTGGTGTGATAGCGCCACAAGGATGGGATAGTTGGGGAGACCAAAACAAGCATCGGTAAATCATCTCTTCCCTTATAAGCATCTACTCAGAAATTATACTTTCATCCATTCTGAAGATGTTACTTTCTTGGTACTCATGTTTCATTTTGTTTTCTCTATTACAGAACTACATACTACGGCGAATACAAGAATTATGGTCCAGGAGCTGATACATCAAAAAGGGTTGGATGGTCATACAAACTATCAAATGATGAGGCTGCTCCTTTCTTGACTAAGGACATGATAGGGGGAAATGATTGGCTTAGATCTTTCCCCAAAAAATTCAAGAAAAGCTCCACCATCGTTGCTGGAAAAAGCTGATGGAAATATTGGTTTGTGAGTCCTGGAACTCACAAGATTCTCTGTAAAATATGTTAACTGATTCAATTTATTTGTATACTTCATTTAAACAAGAAATTTGATTCAATTAATTTGTATTTTACATTTGGAAGGGAAATAACTGATTGATTTATTAAATCGTGTTACAAGAGTTGTTGTGTTTGTTTTAATATTTCTACCCTATCCTATTCCTATCCTACCTAAAATGCATATTTGTTTCAATCCAATTATATTCTACTTAATTTTTTAAACCCCCTAAGTTTGTTAATTTAACTAAATACCCCTAAAAAAGTATATAAATTGACAAAAACACCCCACCCGCCCACATTTGTTAGATTTCGGCCACCACTATCAGAAAATGGTTAGAATCTGGTGTAATGGTATACGACCCGCTGGATCTGACTGGTAGTGGGCCAGCTAGATCCACCGTAGATCTAGTCGAAAAAGACCAGATCTCCGGTTAGATCTTTGGCCACATCTAGTTGTTAACGACAGCCAAAAATGGTCACTTTTATGTCACATGCCCTGGGTGATGAAATAGAATCAGAGTTTTAACATATATATATTGTGCTCAAATGCATGTAGAGTAGAACAATGAGGGGATAATTTAAGAAATATTATCAAACACATTACTTAGTTCTCAGAATGACAGAAATATAAAAACATTCTCCTTTGATGAAAGTAGCCAAATCTTCTCTATGCAAGCAAACCAATAAAAGCCACAAATATACCCTACTCATCAACCACAAAGATTATTTAAGAAGCCAAGGCGGCAATAAGGCACACCAGAAACAAAATCAGCACAAAAGCACCAATCCAAGAAGCCCAATTCCTTCTCTTTTTCTTCATTTGATCAGCATGGTGTAAACCATCAGTGCCACCACTGATATAAGCACCAGCTTTTGCCATATTCTCTTCAATATCATTAATTTGCTCCCCTTGTGCCTCCACCAACACAGCCATGTCAAGAAACACTTGATGCAACTCTGTCAAGCTCCTCTGCATCTCTTTCAAAGCCTCCTGCCTTTCATGAGTCTCCATCACCAAATCTTCTTTGCCTTCAAAAACCTTCTCTTCCACACTTCCCAAAATCATCTTCTCTATCACTTCCTCACTTGGCTCCTCTCCTGTCACATTATGATACCTCCTTTTAAGCCCCTCTTTGTGGTCTTTCACAATCTGCTCTCTCAAGGACTGAAAGTCATGCATCATGTCTCTTAACTTAACTCGCAAGCCGGTAGTAACCGAAATCCTGGTTCGATCAACTGGACTCCCTTCTTTATAAGACATTGATACATTTCGATTTTCGATGTTAGACTGATCAAGCAATGCCAGCCTTGCTTTTATACTCTTCGCTTTTCGAAGTATTGTGATCATATCTGCCTTGATTCTATCTCTAATTCCTCTGAGAATTTTCGCACTGTGAGTGGATTTTGTTTCTTGGTTCAAGTCTTGAAGATTAAGAAGGAGACTGGTGATCTCTTCCATGTCAGTCTTGATAGCTGCTACTTCTTCAAAGAACTGTGACAGGTTTTGCTCATCAATGGGGTCAAGTTGGCGGCCCATTTCAATATCAGTCTCGGATTCTTGGTCTTTCATGGCTTGTTTCTTGAGGTCTACGTAACTGAGGAATGATTTCGTCATAAGATCATTCATCTTCGCCTCTTTAGAATAATCTGCAACAACCCAGTTGAGAAAAAACTTCAGTTTCTTAGAAATTAATCAAAATTTGACTCCACTATATTGACATAGTCATAAAGAGATTTAAGTAATTTGACTTCAACTCAATCTTATAAAATCGAAACATGTATTTGAAAAATGCTAACAGAAATGATTTAAATTGAAAAATCAATCAAGAAAAAAACAAAAAATTAAGAACCTTGAATGGATGAAATGAATTATCCTGCTATATAGTTTTTCTCTGAACGCAGGGCAGACTTCGAGACTGAGGCTTGAATAAAACCAAAACAAAATTAGAAAACAAATTGAGAGCTTTAAAAGGGTGTTTTGAACGCAGAACAAAAAAGTCTCATCCTTTTATGTAGAAATGCTCTTTACGAACAGCCATGAAATGATGAATGGCTATGGCTTCCGTTACTCTGTTCATGCTTCAAATTTCAAATTTAAAAATAGCCGTTTTATATGTAAACACTCCATTAACATTCACCACGTCAGCAAGTTAAGTTTATTTGATGGACCCCACTAGTGGGTCCAGTAGATGACGTGGAATACCGGAACTGTGAACAAATCTAAGTACCATAAACCAAACTGAAAGCATATCTGAAATAAGATAATATTGGCCAGTGGGAGAAAGTGATGGAGAAGAAGAGCAAAGTGTTGATAATTGGAGCAACTGGAAGATTGGGGTTTCATTTGGCCAAATTTAGTATTGAAAATTTTCATCCTACTTTCGTTCTCATAAGAGATTCATCTTTCTGTGACCCCAACAAACAAGACAAGATTCAGTCTCTCTCCACTGCTGGTGCCACCCTCCTCAAGGTCAGAATTCATCTCTTTCCGCTTTGAAATCGTTTTGGTTTTTGATATTTAAGATGGGTTTTTGTGGTTCTTTGGTTTTGGTTTGTAGGGATCACTGGAAGATGAGAAGAGTCTTTTTGAAGCAGTGAAGCAAGTGGATGTGGTTATTTGTTCAATTCCATCTAAACAGGTTCTTGATCAGAAGCTTCTCATACGAATTATTAAACAAGCTGGCTGCATCAAGGTTTTTAACTATAGATGTTTGATTTTTCTTATTTATTTTGATTGTTTTGTTTAATTGGCGCTAGGGACTGTATATCTGATTTAATCCTGCACAAAAGAGGCATAAAGAACTGTTTCTTTGGAGATAAGAGCTTTGATTTCAGAATTTTCTTAAGTTTGAGTATGAAAAAGAAATGAAATGCTAAAATTTTGTGTTGAGGTCTTCTGCATGTTCATGTTTTCTTCATTAGTTGTTACAATTAAGCTGGTTATAATGAAGTTAGGGGCATTCACTTTCTAGAATGATGCCAAAACTTTACATATAATAAACTATATGAGAAAATAGATGGTTCTTTTGTTGTCTCTTGATATGTATTATATTTCAGTGTCTGCATATACAAGTATTGACTCATTCATTTGTTAATAATTTAATATATGTTAATCTTTTCAGAGGTTTATTCCTTCAGAATTTGGAGCGGATCCAGACAGAACTCAAATTTCCGGCATGGACAACAACTTCTATTCACGTCGATCTGAGATTCGACGTCTCATAGAAGCTGAAGGCATTCCCTACACTTATATTTGCTGCAATCTATTCATGACCTATTTACTTCCCTGCCTTGTCCAGCCAGGCCTAAAGACTCCTCCAAGGGACAAGGTTACAATTTTCGGGGATGGAAATACAAAAGGTTTGCTGATTAAGATTTGACTGAACTCCTTGACATTGATTCACCGGGAAAGTTAGTTTGTTACATTTTGAGTAAGTAGTGGCTATGGTAAATTTTGTTGGCTCTTCTTGTCATTTCTGTGCAGGTGTCTTTGTGAAGGACGTTGATGTTGCCGCTTTCACAATTAGTGCACTGGATGATCCACATACGTTGAATAAGGTGTTGTATCTCAGGCCGCCGGGAAATGTTTACTCTATGAATGAGCTGGTGGAGACTTGGGAGAGTAAGATTGGGAAGAAACTCGAAAAGATTTATGTACCAGGAGAAGAACTTCTTAAGCAAATTAAAGGTATTTTGACTATATTATGTAGGATTACTGTACAGGCTACTCTCTTGTAGGCGAGTAAACAGAAATTTACCTACCAAGGCATTTAGAAACTATCTTGAAATCAATTGGGAATTTTGTGCATGACAATATGATGCTTAACTTAGAACCACTTAACCAAAATGTCAATCAGAATCTAGGTGCAAATTATAAGCAATTTCTTTCTTTACAGAAACTGGTCTCAAGGGAGGCAAATATAACAGATTCATTACTTTGTGTTGTAAGTACTTCTAGTTATTATCGTGGTAACTTAGAGAGAATTCCAAGGGAACAGAAAACTAAAGTGAAATATTTAAGAAGTTCATCTCTTGCACCTTTGTGATACTCTCTAGGGCAGGGGATTAAATGTGATATGTAATATGAAGGCCGTATAACAATGAGAAACTAGAAAAAAGTGCTTTTGCTGTCTTTCTATAGAATGCATGATGGGTGTATTTTCTCCTTTGTTTTCTTCTTTGAGACGATACCAAGAATGTGCTGCTCATTGCATTGCAGAGACTCCATATCCAGACAACATGGAGCTGATTTTCATATATTCTATCTTTGTAAAGGGAGACCACACATACTTTGATATTGAATCTTCTGGGGGAATGGATGGGACACAGCTCTATCCACACTTGAAATACACCACAATCAGTGAGCATTTAGACACCCTATTGTGAGACTATTATTTACTTGCTTTACAACGAACTCTAACCATTTTTCTGAGTTGCTGTTTCTAATGATTCATTAAAGATGACTGAATGGACTCATTTGTTCCATTGATAAGATCCAGAACAAAGGTATGATACAGAACATGGTCCAAGAGCTCCTACATTACTGGTCCCAGTGCTTGAGGTTCAACTACACAGAACATGGAAAAAATAAGTCCCCTGCTTGGTGCTTTATATTCAAAATTTTGTCTAAACTTTTCCTAGTTGTAGCGCTAAATCATAACATTGTGTTCATAGAGCGCGATACAAGTTCTTGTCTGGTTCCTTTGCCAGTCAAGATAGTTTTCTCCTTCAGAAGTTATATATATATATTAGCCTGTAGTCTTTCTAATGTTTTCAGTTTTGCAGCTCCTGTTAATCTAACCATTGTCATTGCATTAATCTGTCTCCTTACCTTAATGGTTTTCGTTGGCATCTATCCGTATGCGAAATAATGCATTGAGGGCCAACTACAGACCTGACTGATCCGGTTCCCGGCTTCCTCCCTCCAGCTCACAGGCATAGAACAGGGTGATGAAATGAAACCCAAGAAATTTTCATGTTATATGGTTCTTTGTTGATGCTGATGGTTGTTAGGAATGGTAAATGGTTGTAGCCACAGAGAAAAATCAGAGAGTCAGGTCTTCGAAAGAAAAACATTTTTCAATATTAAAGATCGATAATGATTCTAAAGACGGTCTCAATTTCCATGGCATGACATAATTGCTGCTGAACTGATTAGACCTTCACCTAACCTTTCCAACAATGACGTGCTTCTTCGTGGCCTAGCTAAACCTACATCCAACTGTGTTCCCACAAAAGCATATAAACAGGAAGAAATGAACCTGGCTCTAATTCCAGACCAAAAGACAGGGACATGATCATGCTGATATCACGCTGAATAAGTAAGAGAATATCCTAGGATTGTCTTCAAATGCATCCAAGAAATAAAATTTCCGTGTTTCTTTAACTATTTTAATCCTTATCTTATTAAAATATATATTTGTTGTGATATTATGATAATTTTATTCTATTTTATTTAATTATTTTGTAAACCTCGAAACTTTATTAATTTAACTAAACACTTTAAAAAATTTAAAAATTAATAAAAACACCTTCACTCATCTATATATATTAAATTGTTATCACCACCATTGAAAGATAGTCGAAATTTGATGTAATAATACACTATCGATTGAATTTAGTTGGTTATATCCCGATTTAGCTTTTTTCGATTAAATCCACTGTGAATCTACTCGAAAAATATTAAATCTACGACCAAAGATCTGGTCGTTGATCGTCAACGACAACCAAGATATTGCTGTCGTTGACCATCAATGATGATCATATTTTTTGTCGTCGCTGACTATTAAACTTAATCAGATCTGACTATAGATTTGACATTTTTCTGTTAGATTCACGATAGATGTGACTTTTTTTTTGTCAGATCTACTATGGATCTAGTCGAAAAAAGTCATATCGGTGCATAATTAGTTAGCTTCAATCGATCGTGCACTATTATGGTGACTGTCGATCACCCTCTAACATCAATAATTGGTTGTTGATATTTAATAGGAAAATGAGAGTGTTTTTGTTAATGTTTAATATTTTATTATAAAGGTATTTAACTAAATTAAGAGACTAAGTAGAGTTTTTATTAATATTTAAATCTTACTCGTAATTCAATTTATCAGAAACCCTACCTCGTAAAACAAACACACTAAAAAAATGAGCAGTCGCACTAGGACACAAAATGAAATGAATCTGGACGCTTTCAGGCGATCATTAAAATTAAGATCTGATTTGGAAACTAATCAAGGGCTAATGTCAGTGTTACTTCGGTAATTACATACTACAGGCAGTACCATAAATACCCGTCTCACTTGTCTTTCAAGATACAAAATTTGTCCATTGCTCGGAGAACGGAACAGAAACGAAAGGTTTTCGGAGTTTGAAACGGGCATTTCAGTTATGGCAACGAAGAGCAAGATTCTGTTGATCGGAGGGACTGGATATATCGGAAAATTCATCGTGGAAGCGAGCGCAAAAGCCAGTCATCCGACGTTTGTACTCGTTAGAGAGGCCACTCTTTCTAACCCTGACAAATCCAAGATCATCGAGAATTTCAAGAGCCTCGGCGTCAATTTTATTTCCGTACGTAACGCTTTTTATCTTCTTTATTTTTCATTTCCCCCCCGATTTTTTCCTTGGCGCCGTTTGGTTGCCGATAAATTTCTGCGATGCATCGTATGGAAATCGAGATTTTCTTAATGGTTTTTTTCAATGAGTGGCGCGTGGTTTCGGAATTAAGTCTTGGAGAACAGAATCGGAATCTGCTTAATAATTAACAATTAATAAACAAATAATTTACTGTTAAGATGCTAATTTTTTATTGTTTATTTTATATTATTGTATCTGGTTTTATGCAGGGAGATTTATATAATCACGAGAGTTTGGTGAACGCGATTAAGCAAGTGGACGTGGTGATATCGACGGTGGGTCACGCTTTATTAGGTGATCAAGACAAGATTATCGCTGCCATTAAAGAAGCTGGAAACGTCAAGGTAAATTAATCTGTTTTCATTCTATCTGCTTCATCGATCTTTCTTCCATTTCTTAAACTACAGGGTGATGGCTTGTTCGCTTGAAGGTTTGTTTGGTGAGAATGAAAAGGGAGAGAAAATAAATTACAGAGTGCTTTTCAGTAAATTAATCTGTGTTTAAATCTATTTGCTTCATCGATCTTCTTTCCATTTCTTAAACTATATGGTTATATTGATGGCTTATTCGCTTGAACGTTTGTTTGGTAAGAATGAAAAAGTAGAGAAAATAAATTACAGAGTGCTATTCAGTATTATCCATGGCAGAAATTAGCTACAGCATTAGCAACTAATGGGCAGATTTTAGTATTCTTTTTCTTCTCAGTTTTTGTGTGTGAATGTTCAGAACCATAGATATATATACTCAGAATCATGAATATCTTAAAAGCTCTTGATTTAATCTGAATCTTGGATTCATAAGGCTGACTTATGACTAGTAGTATAACTTCATTGGATAAATGCATTTAATTGGAATTTTGTTGAACTCGAAGACTTGGTTAATTCTGAAAAATTGTTATGCTATCCAGAGATTCTTTCCTTCAGAATTTGGCAATGATGTTGATCGTGTTCACGCTGTCGAGCCAGCGAAAACAGCATTTGGGATAAAGGCTAACATCCGCCGCACTGTTGAGAAAGAAGGAATTCCATACACCTATGTAGCAAACAGTTTCTTTTCTGGCTACTTCCTTCCCTCTTTAGCACAGCCTGGAGCCACATCTCCCCCCAGGGATAAAGTGGTCATCTTAGGAGATGGAAATCCAAAAGGTAACAGTTAATCACATCAGCAGTGGGAATTTTTTCATACATTTACTTCTAATATATATTCTACATATGCGAGAGCTCTAGAAGTTTGGATCATGTTATGAATGCAACAGTATTTGATTAGTACTTGAGTACTGTAAAAGTAAGTTTGTGCTTTGTAATTGTGTGAGAAATATTTCTCAGGATTTACAAGCATTAGCATAATGAATTAACTATATCGCAAAAATTGTTAAATGAATCTAACCAGTTTCATCTTATGATTTTACACAGCAATTTTTAACAAGGAAGATGACATTGCAACCTATACCATCAGAGCAGTGGATGATCCAAGAACCTTGAACAAAGTCCTTTACATAAGACCTCCTGGCAACATTTACTCATTCAACGATCTCGTGTCTCTGTGGGAGAAAAAGATTGGCAAAACCCTCGAAAGGGTCTACGTATCCGAGGAGCAACTTCTGAAAAACATTCAAGGTTAGTGAAAAAAATACCAGACCTCAGATTTCTTTCTTATAAGAATGTCAAAGTTTAAGTTTGCTGATGACCTTTCTTACTATATATGTTTGCAGAGGCTCCGGTTCCTGTGAATGTGCTGTTATCTATCAACCACTCAGCCTTTGTGAAGGGAGACCATACCAACTTTGAGATTGACCCATCGTTTGGAGTTGAAGCCACAGCGCTTTATCCTGATGTCAAGTACACCACCGTGGATGAGTACCTCAATCAGTTTGTGTGAACCCATCTTTGTTTATCTGCAGGATCTTAACAAATAATGTGGTATATTATAGGCTTTTATGCTCAGTTTGCTTTCCTGTTTTTCCGTGTATTAAATGTATTTAGCAATAAATAAACTTAAATTCCCAAAGTTCGAGCTTGTGCCTTTTTTTTCACGCTATTACATGTGGTATCTGGAAAAACTGTCTAGGACCCACTAAAATTTGGACCAATGTTTTAAAACCCAATCCGGGGTGAATCCCAGCAAAATTGTGGGGTCCTAGGTTGATCGGTTTAACTCGGGTCCTAGGTTGATCGGTTTAACTGGTTTGATCGGCGGTCAAACTGATTGACAAAAACTTTTAAAATTCAGTGAATACACCCCTAAAAATTATATTACATCCCTATAAGTTTAAAATTTAGTAAACACACATTAAATACAAATCGGTTGGCAGCGGTGACACTTCAGATGCAACTCCAATTGTCCCTTAAGCCCATTCCCCTTGAAATATACCCAAGATCATTGATGTCGGCATCGGCATTCCAGATCAGATCTCATTGACGCTGGCATCAACAACCCTTCCCATAACCCAGAAATTACTCATCTCTTCCTTCTGACCAAAACCCATCTCACCCCACCCTCGTTAGCCTCTCCAATTGCCTGCAAAAGCCGGCTGTTGTCGCTACCAGTTTTGTTCGATTTTTGGTCGATTTACTCAACGAAAATCAAAGTCGTTACCACCATGGCATTCACTGGCAGTTTCTTTTCAAAAGCCCTAACATCCCGGTCGGCAATTGTTCACCGATCATCCTCCCAAATCTTAGGGTTTTGGGTGAATAGGAAAAACATAAACCCAACCCGTTGAAGCTTTCGGGTCTTGGTTAAACCGGTCGGGCTGGGCAGGTTTTAAAACAATGATTTAGACCTCAAATCGAATAACATCTGAGCCCATAAGCCTTAGTCAACTCACCATCATGCTCACGTCAATATGAACGTGCTGAAGCATAAATCTTCATCAATATTAGTCGGTATTCAGAACTAGTAAGATTGAAAAAGAAGAAAGAATTGATCGGAATTTCTTTAATGGCAATGAAAAGCAAGATTCTGATTATTGGTGGGACTGGATATATCGGGAAATTCATTGTGGAAGCGAGCGCGAAAGCTGGCCACCCCACATTTGTACTCGTGAGAGAGTCAACGCTTTCTAGTCCTTCTAAATCGGAAATCGTCGAGAATTTTAAGAGCCTCTCCGTCAATCTCCTAATCGTGAGTATAACTTTTCAGCAGTTAGAATTACTAACAATGTATTTCTAAGATGGTAACCTTTTCAATTTTTATGGCTATGCAGGGAGATTTGCAGGATCATGAGAGTTTGGTGAAAGCCATAAAGCAAGTGGAGGTGGTGATCTCAACTTTGTCTCGCGCTCAATTGGTAGATCAAGTCAAGATCATCGCTGCAATTAAAGAAGCTGGAAACGTTAAGGTAAGTTTAAGTTTAAGTTTAAGTCTCCCCCTGTTGGGCATTTGCCATATTCAATTTCGTCCAAGTTTACAGAACTTTGATGAACTCTTATGCAGAGATTCTTCCCTTCAGAATTTGGAAATGATGTTGATCGTGTCCATCCTGTTGAGCCAGCAAAAACAGCCTTTGCCACGAAGGCTAAAATCCGCCGACTTGTTGAGTCTGAAGGAATTCCATACACCTATGTATCTTGCAATGGTTTTGCTAACTCCTACCTTTCAAACTTCTCGCAGCCTGGAGCCACAGGGCCCCCAAGGGACAGTTTTCATCTTAGGAGATGGGAATCCGAAAGGTAAAAAGCAAATTAACGCAACACTTCATCAACATTTACTGGAGGTTAGAGTATGTGTAAATTGTCTTACAAAGCAGGGGTGGGCAGGTCCGGGTACCCGCCTAAATTCAAAGGAATGGAATCAGAACCGATCGATTCCTTGAATTTGGAACCGATCCAGTTACTAGAAGCTAGGAACCGGAACTTGAAACATTGGTTCCAGTTCCGAGTACCCATATTAATTCTAAGTACTGCACTACTTTTTAAAAAATGACAAATAAATCCTCTAAAAATTAAAATACACCCTCAACAGTTTACAAAATTATAATTCAATCTCAGTTCTTACCCATATCTTGGGTTCTAGTTCTAGTTCTGGTTTCTGAATTCTAGAATCGAAACCTATCCTGTGAGGGTCAGTTCTAGAGAGGAACCAGAACCTACTCTGTGATGGTTGATTCCGAACAGGAATTGGAACCGGAATCAGTATCTTGGGTACCTGCAACTTCTTGTTACAATTCTGATCAGTGCTTTTGCACACCCCTAAAATATAAAGAGCAGCAAAATGTTTGTGCTTTGCAATTGATGGATTTATGGTGCTTCAAGCATTTTACATGTTGATTCAATTTTTTTCCGCATAGCCCGGTTTGAATCTAACCAGTTTCGTCATACGATCTGACCTACAGTAATTTACAACAAGGAAGATGATGTCGCAACCTATACTATCAGTGCGGTGGATGATCCGAGAACCTTGAATAAAATCCTTTACATTAGACCCCCTGCCAACATTTACTCATTCAACGATCTTGTATCTCTGTGGGAAAAAAAGATTGGCAAAACCCTCGAAAGGATCTACATTTCAGAAGAGCAACTTCTGTTAAACATTCAAGGTAACTGAAAAACTTCTTCAAAGTGTTCACCAGTATCCAGCATGACTTTCATTGTAGAACCTCAGAATTCTCATAAGAATACCAAGTTTGATATTTGCTGGTCTATTTTCCTATGTTGCAGAAGCTGCACGTCCACGCAATGTGGTAGTAGCTATTGAGCACTCGGCCTTTGTGAAGGGAGATCATACCAACTTTGAGATTGAACCCTCATTTGGAGTTGAGGCCACGCAGCTTTATCCCGATGTCAAGTACACCACCGTGGACGAGTTCCTCAATCAGATTGTGTAACTCTTCTGCAGAATCTTGGCAAATTATTCGGTGGTTGGTGGATCCCAGATTTTATATTCAGTGCAAAATTGTTGTTGGCTTTCGTCGCTAATGCTGGTCTGCATTTTGTATCACATTGGCTTGTTTAATTTGTTTGTATGTTGGCATTGTGACAATATAGGCAAAGAAACAAACTAGGCTTTTCATGCTTCGTTTTGGTGAAAGCCTCGGGTCTCTCTATATCCAAAGGTATGAAACTAATCTCGATCAGGGATCGGGGCTCGGGCAAGTACCTCTGGGTGTAAGGTGTTTTCAATGCGATTCGAATCCCTGACATTACTAATAAAATTCGTCCCATTTGGACCCCAGTTATCAATTGGGTCACACCTCATGGGTAGTAGCATTATCATTCTACTTTCAAAGAAATCTTCGCAATCAAACATGTTATTAAGAAGTTTAAATTTCATCTTAAAACCTCAAATGATTTTATTCAAGCGATGGATGTCTTCACTTTTATGATGAAGAATCCTAACATAGTACAGATTTAACATATAAGAGTTTGTCACCTTTACAATATCATATCATTTTAGTCAACAATCTTGTGTGTTTTTCACAATTAAAATGAACTCTAAAACCAAATTAAAGAGGTTAATCAAATCTGAAGGGCAATTACGTCATTAAACATGGGCCACTGCTCTAAAGAACACAAGTTCACTTCTAAGGTTTAATAAGAAGGGGAAGAAAGCTCTGATTTTGATTGGAATTTCAGTAATGGCTACGAAAAGCAAGATTCTGATTATCGGTGGGACTGGATATATCGGGAAATTCATGGTGGAAGCGAGCGCGAAAGCCGGACACCCGACATTCGCGCTTGTGAGAGAGACAACTCTCGCTGGTCCCTCTAAAGCGAACATCGTCGAGAATTTCAAGAACCTCGCCGTCAATTTCCTTATCGTGGGTAACGCCTTTCAGTCTCTCTCTCTCTCTCTCTTCAATTTCCTTATCGTGGGTAACGCCTTTCAGTCTCTCTCTCTCTCTATCTCTCTCTTCGTTTTTCAATTTCCCGCCGATTTTTCTGTAGTTAGAATTTCTTGAATGAACAACTGTTTTTCTTATTCAGTTTCGAAATGGATAATTTATGCAGGGAGATGTGCACTATCACGAGAGTCTGGTGAATGCAATAAAGCAAGTGGACGTGGTTATATCAACGATATCTCGGGCTCAATTGGTTGATCAAGTCAAGATTATCGCTGCAATTAAAGAAGCTGGAAATGTTAAGGTAGTAAATGGGTATTTGCAGCATTCAATTCATCCAAGTTTACAGAATTTATACTATCAATCACTGAGGCATCTAGTAAGATTGGTTTTTCATGAACTCTGTAACTTGTTCTGGAAGTGTTTGATGTTATGCAGAGATTCTTCCCTTCAGAATTTGGAAATGATGTTGATCGTGTCCATCCTGTTGAGCCAGCGAAATCAGCCTTTGCCACAAAGGCTAAAATCCGTCGAATTGTTGAAGCTGAAGGAATTCCATACACCTATGTATCATCCAATTTTTTCGCTGACCACTACCTTTCCACCTTCTCACAGCCTGGAGCCATAGGTCCCCCGAGGGAAAAAGTGGTCATCTTAGGAGATGGGACTCCAAAAGGTAAAAGCAGATTGACTATAGGAATGCAGTAATAAATTTATCTTCTTTATATATAATACTAAGTGAGTTGGAGAAAGAATTTGAAGAAGCATGATTATAAGAGGCTAGAGTTGGTGTAAATTGTCATATAAACTATAAATGGCTGCAAAATATAAGTTCATGCTTTATTATTGATGTATTTCTGGTGTTTGAAGCATCTAGTATGATGATTTCAGTTTCCACAAAAGCATTGTTTGAATCTAACCAGTTTCATCATATGTTATGACCTACAGTAATTTATAACAAGGAAGATGATATTGCAACCTATACTATCAGGGCGGTGGATGATCCGAGAACCTTGAATAAAATCCTTTACATTAGACCCCCTTCCAACATTTACTCATTCAACGATCTTGTGTCTTTGTGGGAGAAAAAGATTGGAAAAACCCTTGAAAGGATCTACATTTCAGAGGAGCAACTTCTGAAAAATATTCAAGGTTAGTGAAAATGTCAATTTTTTTTATCATAGAAGAGATCATGGAAATCTCCCTCTCTAAACGTCTTTAAGTCGATAATAAAATTAACTGACTAATAGCAGTAAGTTAAACTTCTTCAAAGTCTTCGTCAATTCCATTAGTTTGAGTAGCCTCCAGCATGGCTTTCATTGCAAATCTCAGAATGCTCATAATAATCTCAAGTTTGATAATTGATATTCTATTTTCCCATGTTTCAGAGGCTGTGGCTTCACAGAATGTGATATTAGCTATTGAGCACTCAGCCTATGTGAAGGGAGATCATACCAACTTTGAGATTGAACCATCATTTGGAGTTGAGGCTACGCAGCTTTATCCTGATGTCAACTACACCACTGTGGATGAGTACCTTAATCGGCTTGTGTAAGTCTTCGATCTGGAGCTGCAGAGTCCTGGCAAATTAATGGGTGGTTGTGGATCCCAGATTCCATATAAAGTTCAATTTGTTTTGTATGTTTAACAATAATTGATGTAACAATCAATAAACAAAGTTGAAATACCAATTTTATTCCAAGTAGAGACTCAGATCATACTCTCATCTGTTTTGTACAGATAACTGAGCATAAATTGGATCAACTGAAACTTCATCAATTTTTAGCTTTAATTCAACAGGCTACAACAAACTATTAATAGTTAAAACATGTATAAGGTGAAATAACCAAAATCTTTCTGAACTTTGAGAGTTCAGTCATGAGTTACTCATCTTTTTATCCTCTGTTTCCCTTCTTTCCCTTCTTTGTTGAAGCTTTTACAGATCCTTTACCTTTCTGTACCTTTGCATTTTTTCCCTTCTTCGAGCCGCCTTTCCCTCCCTTGCCTGACCCACGTGTCCTTGCATCTTTTTTCATCCGGCGATCAACAACAACTTTACCCTTCCCACCCTTGACTTGAACTCCTTTCTTTGCAACCACATATTCCTTTTGAGGCCTTTTGGGCGCAGCTTTCTTGTATAATTGTTCAATTTGTTTTCTCTTTGAACGGTCATTAATTTCTGTCTGGTCTGATATAATGTTTGCCGTCTTGCGAATCTTCTCAAGTTTCCTCATGGCAACTCGCTTCTTTCGGGCTTTGGCCTCTGCAACCTTCTTAGCAGGCCGAGCATTGATTTCTTTGAACTGTGCTTTCATTGCGGCAATCTCCTCCTTGGTAATGGGTTTAATTGCTTGGCGATGCCTCCGTTCCTCGTCCAAAAACCATTCAGGTAAGTCCTCATCATCAAACATGTACTTATTGTAAGCATCATCAAGCATCTGCTCCCTTTGTTTTTTCCTCAGCATCTTCTTTGCACAAGCCAATATCTCAGCTTTTGTGTCAACATCTTCATCCTCTGACTCATCAGAGGATGAGTCATCACTAGAATCTGTAGCTGGAGCAGGGACTATCTCAAAGTCATCTTCCGCCTTGGATGATTGGACATGAGCATTAGTGGAACCTGCAGTATCCTTTACTACCTTTTCCTTCGCCTTTTGAGGGATGGAGTGTTTTTCCTTCGGCCTATCTACCTGCATTTCGTCTTCGCTGTCAGATTTCCCCAAATCTCCCTCCTCTACAGCTTCAGCAAAAATGTCCTGACTAAACCACTTATTCTTAATTTCCTCCTGTGTTGGCATACCCTCATCAAGTGGTACCATTAGAGGATTTGCATCATGATCACCCTGATCTTTTTCTGAATCATAATCAGCCTGACCAATTTCGTCATCATTCCCATCCTGACCATCCAAAATGAAGAGATGAATATGTAATCACCAAAAGTATTATGCCTAAAAAGAATGCCATGCCTAATATTTTCACAGCCACAAGCAATAACAACAGGACCCATATTCAAGCACTCATCCACCCATGGTATAATGAATTATGTTACACTAAAATGGGAGAAAAGAAGACTGAACGCTCCAAGATCATTGAGAGAGTCGGTAATATAGTGAGGATGCTAAGCCACGAGGGCAACTCAAGATTTCACTCCCTAAGTCAGAAGAGCACATAATAGCAAAACGAAAAAGGGAAAAACAAACATGCACCCAGCCTGCATACAGATATACATTTAGAACACTCCAAAAGCTACATACCTCCATAAGTTGGTCCTGTTGGGCATAGGCTTGTTTAGCACGCTTCCGATGTTTTGAACTTCCCCCTTTCTTGGCCACATAGCTTTCATAAGCTTGATCGAGAATCTCTTCCAATTGTTCATCATATCTAAACATCAGGAAATGTAATTTAAATACAGAGACTTATGGTTGTACCAATTACATGCTTAAGTAGATAGGGACTTTAATGAAGAAATAAAAGGAATTACCTTCTGCGTTCTTCATCAGAGTCCATATCACTGGAAGAGTAATCTTGAGTTGTCTTCTTGATTCTTTCATCTTCACTGTCCCCCAAATCAGCATTCTCATCATCGCCATCATCATATTGAGTGGAATCGACAGCAACAAGATCTTTCTTACCCTAAAGAACCATCATCAAGTTTAACCAAGAATGAGCCAATACCAATGTTATAGTGTTGGATATGATTAAGAAATTAAATTTGTGACAAAAGCAAAGATTAACTTTTTCAGGCTACCTTCAATGGGAAATTGTCCCATCTAGCCATTAAATCACAAGAGAGTAAAAAAGTAAAATGGTTAAGTGGGCTCTAATGTTCAATTCATACAAACACCAACAAGGTAGCGTAGAAGATAACACTATTCATTGCAAAATCAGAATCTATTCACAAGACAATCATACAAAAGAAAGAAAATGAAGAGAAGTGAAACCCTACTTTGATGGAAGATAGAGAAAATAACTCGTGATCAATGTAATCATCTTGCATAACATCTACTTGCATCCCAGTCGCTTTTCGTGCCTTGTCCTGGAACATCCAGAGACAGGAAAACAAGAAACAAGTCAAAAACGCATACCAATAGAAGAGTATGAATAAGAGCATGCCATGAATTCAAATTCGAATTCAAAATTACAAAGACTAAATAAGTGCCACTGAGACCATAAATATTAAAACTAAATTCATAAATAAGTTATTTCAGATATAACATAAACAAGTTATTTCAGATATAACATCTGTGATGGAGTCCCCAAAGAGTTGATTCCCAATTTCTCAGGAAAGGCTTAGTGACTCATCCCGGCCCCTGAGGTGTAAAGGACATAAATTATGGATTTCTAGCTCGAGTTTCTTGAATTGATAAACCATTTTAAAGATTCTTTACCAAAATTCTTTTATATAAGAAAGCAAAATTGCTCAAGCATAGGAGTACTCCTGAACCTCAGTAGAGCCCTGCCATGGTGCCACCCATATTTATCAGATGCACAATTCTTGAAACTTGACAATTTACAGATTTACAAATTATTTCCTTGTGTTCATGTTAATGTTCAAGGACAAAAAACAGTCTGTTGAAGTTAAGAAAAGTAACAACAGAAAGGTATTTCAATTAATCCAACTTTACAATAAAGAATTTGCTTCGCATCTTCAAACATTATTCAGATATGTACATTTGTATGTGTGTGCATGAAACAAAGGGGAAGTTTACCACAAGAAAACCAACCTTAGCCATTTTTTTTGCAAGAAGCTTCTTTTCTCGTTTCTTTTTGCGCTCCATGGCATTTGTCAGCTCCTCCATTTCATTGAGTACTCTCTCATCTTCGTCCTCAATTTCGACATTACTAGGAGTTGGCGTGGCCACCTTTTGTGAAAGAGATAAAGCCTTTCTTAAGTGCATACGCCACCTACATGACAAAATATAAATTAAACTCAAATCTAAAATGATAATATTATTATGATCAGAAAGTGTTTTATACAATATAAATGTCTATCTACAAATGACATCTATTGCATGCATCACACAAACCAAAACATTTTTATAGTTTTCTTCCTTCTTTGGCATTAAAATCTGACTATGTAATAAACAAATAAAAGGTATGCATGTTCTCTTACTTCAATAGATGCTTGAAATCTTGCTTTCCCAAGACACGCAAATCATCGCATAGAGCTTTAACCTAGCCAGCAAGTAGATTTACAACAGTTAAAACCTATATAGAATGACAATAAAAGATCAACAGTAGATCATCGCATAGAGCTTTAACCTAGCCAGCAAGTAGATTTACAACAGTTAAAACCTATATAGAATGATAATAAAAGATCAACAGTAGAACAACATCAGGATGAATGTGATAAAAACCTCTTCTGTTGTCAATTCATGATCTATGATGGCCAAACAGGATGGATCCTCAAAGGATATGGAAGTAACTGAACCAAGAATCTCAAGAGGATTATTGGACCAAATGAAATCTGCAGCTGAAGAAACTTTCCTCACAATTGACTCTCCATCTTCATATCTGTAATAGGATTTCGATTAGTAACAACCAATAAGTAGATAGACAGTTAATTAATGCAGACACATTGCACAAAGACAACATTGTTTAAAATACCAAATTGTTCATGTGCCACAGGAATAATTTCTGAAAATTCATCAAGAAAGCAAAGAAAAAGAAAAAAGTTTACCCATCACGATGTCTTTTTTGCTTTGTTCCTCTTAGTACATCCACCACCTACATCAATAATTCATACAAACAAGATAACAAATAATAAGAAAACGAACACATAAATTAAAAGGAAAAAAAAAATTTAGGGTCATTTTTTCCCACAACTTCATAATGCAACTTACCTTGCGCTGGGGTTCTATAGACCCCTGAAACAAATGTTTCACATCAAGAAGACGAGGATCAATTTTTGCAGGAGCCTTGTACCTTAAACCCAATACGTATATCTCAGCTGATGCTGATCGACTAGCTGCTGGTTTATCCACCTCAACCTTCTCAAATAACTGTACAGCAAAGCCAAGATCAGGAAAAAAAAAATGGCTACACAGTATATGAACTACATTTAATCAAAAAACAAAAAAATAAATATAAACAATATATCACCTGCTTGAGGCAGTATACGACAGAACTGTAATCTTGTGACCTGAAAACCTAACAAAAAATAAATAAATAAATAAACAAACATTCAGCATTAAGTATAATAAAAGTTGTGACAAGATAAACCCATTTCCCCATCAAACAAACAAAAACTAAATATTAATATAGCATACTTAATATCACCATTCTTATAACCCAGAAATACCTCAACCCAATTAGTGAACTCAAGTTTGAAATTGAGCCCATCTAATCCTGTAAATCAAATATTTGCTATATTAACCCCATTTCTAATAAATTAATACAACCTATAACACCAACAAACAAATAAATCAATCAAATACTACAAAAATGCGCTAAACCTATCATAATTAATTAATTAAAGCAAAATAATTTTTTTCTTTAAGGACGCCACAAACTTTTGTAATCCTACAAAGCACATACTTGGTATTGATACGCTAGCTCTTAGAAGTAACACAACAGATAGCACCAACTAACCCATCAATCAAATACTACAGAAAAACTCATAAACCCAAAACAAAGCAAAACAGAGGTTTCTTTTTAAAAAGCACATACTTTAGTAACAAAAGTTCCCTTAGGAGCCAAGAACTGAGTGGCCAGCTTAACAGAATCAATAACCAAAGCGTTCTGGCTCATAGCCTCCTGAGACCAAGCTCCACCAACATTAGGCGACCCATCATGCAAAACCAAATCAAAAGCTCTAACTCCATGCTCTTCCATCACCTTCTTCACTCTACTTCTACACTCAGGCTTTGTTATATCCTGCTCCAAAGAGATAGCGCCACGTATGGGGGCAATGGGCACCAAGTCCAGGCCCAGAACAAGGCTGCCCACGGGCACCCGCTGCACCGCCACCTGCATCCACCCGCCTGGGGCGGCGCAAAGGTCGAGGACCGCGTGTGAAGAGCGGAGGAAGGAAAATTTGGTTTCGAGCTGAACGAGTTTCCATGAAGCTCGAGATCTATAGCCGTGTTCTTTGGCTAAACGGTAGTATTTATCCAAACGATGCTTACCCTTTACTTTGCCCATTTTGCTAGAGACGGAGGTGGAGAGAAGAAAGAGAAGAGTTGGTGAAATTTAGAATATATAAACCCCACCCTCAACTGGAAGATTAGGGTTTTAGCCTCTTGACTTCATGAGTCTTTATTCCCTTTACGAATTATGTTTCTATTTTAATTATTTTTTAAAGTTATTAAATAAATCAAATGAGATATTTATATTGAATATTTATAAATATAACTCTGTCATAATTAAATGAGAATCAAAATTAGTTTATAAATCCTCCTTAGGGAGTAGAAAACTATCATAAAAATAATTAGTAATTATAGGACAAAAAAATTCTTCTGTAAATAATCAAATATACTAATTTATAATTATACTAGTTATATATACTAGCATTTGCATGTAAGGCTCGAAATCATCGACTAATCCTTAAGGTTTTAGCGTTAACGATCAGATAAACCGGACCCTTACTAACATAAGAGAATAATCAAACTCAATACCTCTTAAATAATACATTTAAAAGTCTTTATCGTCTTACCCAACCATCGGTAATTATGGTAATTAGCTGAAGTTATTTCATTCTTTATCTTGGTTTGATCATCCAAAGGATAAAAGCAGTTGAACTTCAAATCCAGATGTTAGGGATTTTTCAAAAATTAATATATAATAAGAGTCCGAGATTGTAAGTTGAAGCCATTCTACATTCAAGATGAAGTTAAAAGTACAATAAGAACACATTCCCTGCTATGTCAGTGAGTTTGTTTGAAGAAGTTTTTGCCAACATTACTACACTTGAACAAAACTAGCACATGAAAATTTTCCCACTAAATGTTTCATGAAACTGGGTCGTGCAAATTACATTGCCAACAATCTTGAAATCTAAATCGAATCTTGGATAACGTGTGTATAAACATTAAAGTTTCACTTCTGCAACATCGGCACTCCTCAGGCACAACTGAACTTTAAAAGTTTACATAAGAACCAAATGAATGTCCCTTGAAAGGAAAAAAACAAAATTCAATTATCACCAATTTTCCATAACCTACTTTTTTTTCCCCATCTGGTCCTTTCTATTCTATATATGAATCAGCCTTGCTTCAGTCACCACGGAGGCTACCACCACTTGTTGAAGGTTTCTTACCACCGTATTTCTGTAATTTAATCACAACAAAAAAAAAAAAAAAAAACAGATTGTTAACTTTGCAGTCCTATCAGAGAAGATCTGTGGCCACAGTTATCAAGTGGTTGGAGCTTTACCTGCTTTCCAATGTTGAATGGGATGTATTTGTATTTTATCATGTGTGCAATTTGGCGCCTCATTGTAAGAACAAACAGAACAATCCAGTAACAAAGCAATATAGGCCAAAAGACGGGAACATCAAATACAGAAAAGAATGTCATCACAAATGCTATGCAGAAAGCCTTGGTCATGGAGTACCTGAAAAAACACAGCAGCAGAACAATATGTTATGCTCACGCACACAAGAAAAAGGTTTCAGCCCCTTGTGGTCGTGCAAATGCTTTGCTGTGTAGTGATGCATACATATTAATCTAGCTAGATAACATGTTTCCAGGGGCTCAAGAAATGTAAAATGACTCAAGAAAATAATAAGACGTGATCAGCCCATATATAGAGAGAGTGATGCAAATCACCTCACAGCCACACAACTTGATGTAAAAATATTTATCATGCATTGTAAGTTACAATTCTTTAGGCAGACAAACATCACATTTACTAATTGGTTAGGCTCCCTAAGAATGTCTTCCGTGAAACTTCCAATTGTTCTAAGCACCATAGAACCCTCTAAGGTGTCATTTCAAGCCTGTCTAGAAAAAAATTGCCAATGATTACTAAAACAAGAAATTACTTGAAAAGAATAGCTATAACTCTATGGAAAAACAATGTAATCACTGTGAACTAGACATACTAAACATAATACTACTAGATAACCATGTCATCAAACATAGAATTACAAGATTCAGCTTCTTGATAGAAAAAGAAAAAGGTGATTGAATACTTAATATAACAAGGTCATGATTGGTGAATGCATTTGCATATCTTCACATTAGTTTCTCACAAGATACGTGGACACCAACTATCAGAAATAAATACAAAGAGAAAAACTAACTAATATGTGTTGACTACACATGTACTTTGAAGATCAAATGCCTGAGATAGAATTTATTTAATATATAAGCATTCAACAGCTGGAACTTTCAGAACAAAGAAACAAGCAATAATAAAAAGCATAGAAGAACAAGAACCTTTCGACATAATTGTCCATTCCATAGACCTCCTAATTACTCAACTAATCATTCTCTGCCTTCTGTTCATCACTTATCCAACAATTGGAGGAAGAGAACTTAAGCCTGCAGGAAATACTGCTCACAGTAGAAGACTCCACATTATAAATCTCACCAACAAGGATGTGCAGCAAGAGGCTCCTAATGGGTCCTTGGGTGACTAACTCCAGATTGGATCAAGCATATAATTTGATAATATGTAAATGTAAACAGCTCCAAGGAGGTTCTAATTTATAAAACATAACCACATCCTTGAAACACAATCCACACACCTAAACTTTATAAGTTAAAATCCATCTACTTAATCCCGTGTATCTACAAAATCCAAATTATTCATGATTTTATTGCCTGCCTTCATAAGCGGAGAGAGCAAAACACAAAACTCCCAGAAATATCAAAGTAATCTATAAAGTAACAGAGAGAACTTCAACCATCAGCTATGTGAAGTAGGAACCACAATGTTAAAGAGATCTCCCAACTAGCATGAAAAAAATAGTGACTGCTCTCGTAAACACTAAAAGTAGAAAAAAGTCTTGTTTACCAGAATTTAAACTCTGGGAGTCGGCGGATGAAAGGCTTGAATTCATCTGAACCCTTTGTCGGCAATAAAGGCCCATCAGAAACTTCAAGCTCAGGATCAACCAGAGGTGACAAAAACCCGATTAGCAGATTCAGAAGATAGATCCCAAGACCATAGGAAATGATGTAAAAACCTTGCACATAATAAACCCGCAGACAGTAGATTGCCACAACAACAAGAGTTCCAATCCACCTATAGGTCATATGTGGGGTAGTCTTATCCAGGTAATACTGAAACATCCTCCAAACATCATGTCCCCATTGCGAAACAGGTGATGCCACTGAGGCACCATCGCCTCCAACTCCCTCCATTCAATTTAAGTTTCAAAAATCCTGTGAATAAAATATCAGAATCTAATCACATGACACATATCTACTTAACCAAATGTAACATATACAAGCAATTAAGATGTGTATAATCACATGATTCTCATATACTTCAATCACAATCCCACTGAGTAAATAGCTCGTAGGTCTAATCCCAGTTTAAGCTTTACAAACAGTGATTATAATAGTCATTCTGCTTCAATTTCAAGCATCGATAATCAACAGCTATGGCCTATTAATGATGAATGCAGGTACGAGCATTTATATAATAAACATTAACACATTAATAAGGCATTTTAGAGCATCTTCATGCGATTTTAATGGTTAAACAATTACATATAGTACCCAGAAAAAAAGGTCAAAAAACAACCCAATGCCCCATTTAATACTAAAAGAGAACACAATTAAGCAAAATATTAGCTCAAAATGAAACTAGTTACAAGATTATATAGTCATTACCTCAAAATCCAAACCAATACCCAATACACACACAAATCCACATGTAAGATCCAAAATCATAAATTCCCAATTTCCAGCATCCTAAAATTTCTCACAAATCAAACAGAAAACTAGGGTTTCCTAACACAAAAACAACAGATTTACTTTAAAACTTCAAGAACAGATCTAAACGAAACATACCCAAAAAGAAAACAACAAAACCCAGATTAAAAAAGCCCGAATATTAAAAAATTAACGGGTTTCGCCACAGAAAAAGAAAGAGAAAGATTAAAAACAAGTAAACAACCCAAATGAAATACAAGCAGAAAAACCAAATCACGTTGAGGAAGAACACAAAACAGAAGAGAAATTAGTGGAAAAAACAGTAAGAGCTGACCTTGAAATGAGTCTTGGACGTTGAACTCAGGACTCAAATTGATCGAGGAAGCTAAATGCGACCAGATCTTGTAAGAGAATGAATAAGCCGAGTCTTTTCTTTGCGTTTTTTATTTTTGTTTTAAATTTTTATATTATTTATATATTTTTGGTTTTTTTTTTCGGCGATTTACAAAGAGAGGTTATTACAGACAGTGACGCTGTTGAAAAGTTGTTGAAAGACGGAGTTACCGGAGCCGTTACTACTCACGTGCCTCTACCACGCCAGGAATATTATTTGTCCGTATTGAAGATGCTCTTTGGAAATTTCTACTTTTGTTTTTTAAATATTCATTTAAAAAAAATGTTTTTTATAAATAATTATCAAAGAAAAATCCCATCACTTCATTTTTCGCCCAAGCCCGTTTAATAAAACAATAACATTGTCAAAATTGTTAACTAGTTTTAGGTAGTTTAATAGTTCGTTTGGGACTCTTAGGTGTATTACTCAATAAATCATAAGTTCATATCTCCACGACTACTAATAAAGTATAACCATTAAAAATTTATTTGGCTGTTAACTTTAAATTATAATTAGTTGAGATACATGTAAGCTGACCCGAACAACCCTAGATGCCAAAAAAAAAAAAAATTATCAAAATCGTTCATAATAGTAATTATAGTTGAGGTGCGTGTGAATAAAAAATGAAAGTATTTAATATAAGTATATGATTTATTAATTTTTATTTTTCGAAACAATTTTTAAAATAATGTTTTGTAGTATAACATATTAATGTTTTAATTATTTTCCAAATTAGTTAATACTTTATATTAACATTACCATTCAAATAATATATTGTTGCGGCATACGGTTAAAACAGTGCAGTGCGTGCAATTGGACCTAAATTTGGGCCTTTAATATCATTGGGTTAGCCTGATTAGACAGGTGAAGGCCCATTTAGAAGCTACAGCACTTGTTTAATATCCATCAGTTTCTTTTTTCACTTATTTATTTTTCTCTCCAAAACTTTATTAAGAAAAATGCTACTTGCAATTGGTCAATTAGTAATGACTTTCACTTAGATCCAACCTGATAAATTATGATTGATTAATTATGAACTACTACGTCCAGATTGTAGGTGTAACATTACTCTTTTATTAATCTAACACTGTTAGTAACTATTAGAGGTTGTTAGAAATGGTAAGTGAGGTCGGCAAGTGATTGTATGTGTTTTGTTGATGAGGTTGTTGGGAGTTCAACAGTGATCTCAAAAGTGATTTTGAACTTTAAAATTGACTGAAAATAACCAAGAGTCCTACTAACATAAGCCCTTTTTTGGTAAAATTAGCTCGTTTTCGGTCAAAGAAAGCATTGGCACACTTTAGCGTGCTAACGTGCACCATGCTATAGTAAAAAATTAAGAATTTGTTAAAATAAAGAAACTGACATTACTTTAAGAGTGAGAGTCTAGAATAAATGCAATTAAAGGTATTAACTTGGGATTTTAAACCACCACTGGATGATCTGATGGTAAAAGAACAAAGAGATCTAACATATGTTCATGAGTTTGAGTCTGTACTAGTCCTAATAGGGATAGTCATTGAGAAANTTTACTTATTTATTTTTCTCTCCAAAACTTTATTAAGAAAAATGCTACACCCATAACCTCTTCTCACAAACTTGACATGGCAGCTCACAATTGGTCAACTAGTAATAAGTCTCGCCTGGGTCTAATCTAATAAATTACAATTAACCAATTACGAACTGTCACGTCGAGGTTATGAAAAGAGGTTGTAGGTGTAACATTATTCTTTTATTAATATTTATGTGAAACCTAAAATCAAATCCATGCTAGTTGCACAAAAATAATTATTATATTTTTAGTTGAGTTCGGGTCATTATAATTGGTAAATCTTATACTTTATTTGACGATGTAGTTTGATGATAGTGTGGATTGCTTAAACAAGATATTATAAGTCTTACAATTGGTATGCCTTAGTCTTACTCGACCAAAGTAGATAGTATATGCTCTAGTGATCATAACTATTACAGTGAGTAAATGACATATATTATCATCCGATGTTTAGCGAAATTTCAAGTTGATACTCATAGTTCTATTTATTATGGATTCCTATTCTTAAACTAACACTGTTAGTGACTATTAGAGGTGGTCGGAAATAGTGAGTGAGGTCGATAAGTAAAGGTATGTATTTTGTAGACGAGGTTGTTGGGAATCCAATAGTGGTCTCGAAAGTGATTTTGGACTTCGAAATCAACCGGAAATAACCAAGAGTCGCTGGCTTGAATGCTACTAACATAAGCCATTTTTTGGTAAAATTAGCTTGTCTTCTGTCAAATAAAGCATTGGCACACTTTAGCGTGCTAACATGCATCACACTACAGTGAAAAGTTTATGAATTTGTTAAAATAAAGGAAATGACATTACTTTAAGGGTAAGAATTTGAAATAAATGCAATTAAAGGTAATAACTTAGGATTTCAAACTACCATTGGACGCTCTGATGGTAAAAGAACAAAGAGATTCAATATGGGTTCATGAGTTTGAGTCTCCACTAGTCCTAATAGAGGTAGTTATTGAGGAGATTTATTTGGCCGTTAACTTCAAGGCCTCGAATGTTAGTTAAGGTATACATAAACTGATCCGAACATCTTCAGTCAACTTAAAAATAAAACTTGGGACTTCGTTAAATCTCGAATAAGAATACGTAGTTTGCCCTATTATAGTTGATAAATCTTATAATATTCACTCAATCGATTGGCCAAACTGATATAGAAATAGAATCGAAAAATTCCATCACCAATAATTTCCCCAATGTCCAATCATGTACTAGATTTCTTCGATTAGACACAACAACAAATAAAATATTAAAACCATGATTGAAGGTGCCTTCCTTCATTGTATGATTCTTATTTACAACTTCATTCTTTCATTGTATGATTCTTATTTACAACTTTATATTATTAATAAACGCCATAAGTGACGTGGCCTAATCAAAGCCACAAGTTCTTCACAGTCTTTAAATTGAATTTGCTTGGTGGGTAATAAGGTTCGTGGCAATTGAATCATCTAACAAAATTAATCTCCTTAATTAAATATTAAAAAAAAAAAAAAAGTCTCTTATTTACCACCACCTCCAACTCCTCAAATTTTTGGCCAATGGAGTGGAGTGAAGAGGATGGTGGTGGTGGCGGTCAATTTGTGTCTTGAAATATCATGATGTTTAATAAAAGAGGGAATCTTTGAAATTGTTGATAGATTAATGTATGATTATAAGAAGACAATAAATAACTATTCTTCCTATTAAATCAAAAGGGTCTCATTCAATTAAAATTACAAAATATCCCACATATAAATAGATAATTGCTTTTCTTTGCTAACCGAAGTGTCTAAGTCGCTTGCACGTACCTTACTCATTTTCAGAGTCTATTGAACACTCTACAAACCCAAAGAATCAGGTAAACCACAACGTGGTAGGTGGTCCTAAGGTTTGAACATAGAAACTCAAGAAATTGAACAAACCTTCTTGACCGCCAAGCTAACCCCTTGGGGTTGTAATTGCTTATTTTTCTTGGCTTCTTTAATGATAAATGGGAACAAGAGGGAATCCAACCACATATTAAACATATATACATTATAATAGTCTACCAACTTAGTGATGTAGGATAAATTCAACTTCTAACGCCCTCCCTCACATTTAGTGTGTAGGGCTGAGGTCCAAACCCATTACCATCTCAAACAAACATGACTCTGATATTATAATAAATGAGTTTAAGATAATAAATGAGTTTAAGTAAAACTTACTTCCAAAAGCTAGTTCAACGAAAAAGGGAGTCCAACCATATATATACACCATAACATTTAATAAATTTAAAAATAAAATCGTTGAAACACAATCCAAATTATTTTTAAAATTGATTTATTTCTAGTTTGAGTTAAAAAAAAAAAAAACGATTAAATTTAAAGTTGCTACGATCCCGAAATAACACACAATAAAAGTATTTGACAATAAAATTATAAAGAAAAATCTAACAAATATTACAACATTGTTGGAGAGATGGGTCCTCTTTGAAAACAAGTTGAGAAGTGAGATAGAACTCCATTATTTTCTGCAACTTGTGGCTCAAAGAACACTTAAGTGAAGATATTTTCAGGAGAAAAATATTTTGTAAGGTTGATGAAGAAAGTGCCAAATCCAAGTAATATAACACATGATTTTTAAGATTTATATATATTAAAATTCCTAGAAAATTCTAGGTTTATTTAATCTAAACAATCCTTCTCAATTATCACAATTGGACCATATGATTTATTTATTGCACTTTTTTTTTTTTTTTAAATATAAAATAAAGTTTGTTCTATCAATAGGATGTCCACAATAGGACACAAAAGATGTTGGGGGTTCCAATTAAAATAATACCCAATCTTCTAAGTTTTAACTTTAATATCAAGTATTAATCATGAATTAATTAGGCTTTTAAGTATAAAATTAATATTATTATTTTTTTTAGCAAAATTTAGTAGCAACTAGCAAAGTTTAACTAACCAAGTGAAGCGTAAAAAATTATTAGATGTACTATTCAAGAGATTTTGAATTCCATTCTACTCGATCTCTAAGAGAGGAGATGACTACTTGAGAATTTAATCCTCGGTCTTTAAAAAATTTGACGACGTTCATGCTATATATTGACCATAGGAAAATGCTATACCCATAATCTTTTATCATAAACTTCTTGTTATAATTTCAATATAGTAGCTCGCAATTAATCATCTTTTAATAGGTCTTATCTGATAAATTATGGTTAACTAATTACTTACAACTTTGACGTAACAACTTATAATTAGTCAGTTAATAATTGATGTAACTCATTAATTATGAGCTATTATGTTGGGATTGTAAGAAAAAATTTGAAAAAAAAAAAAAAGTGGATCTTGCATTTCTTATTAACCATATTTTCATACATCAAACTCAAGTAACTACATGAAAATTAATTATTTACTCAAAACTCAAGTAAAAAAAAAAAATATATATATATTATTTAAACAAAAAAATTAAAAAAAAGGGGCCAATTTGAGAGAAATAAAAACTAAAAAGTGCAAATGAGTGGGTCCTTCGCTTCCATCTTCTCCAATGTCAATGCTGGGTCACTGTCACTGTCGGCTTGAGAAGACAAATAAATTAAATTAAAAAAAAAAAAAAAAAAAACAAACATATTTGTGGCTAAGCACAGATACAAAGCTCGACTTTTAGATGCTTTCTACATTTCTACTTCTGTTTATTTACAGTTTCCTTCTTTTCTCACACCATTTAAGCCCTTGTGTCCACACACAGCTTCCCCATCTCTCTCACTCACCACTTCATTTCCTCTCTCTTTTCATCTCCAAGCTTCAACCTTTAAGTCTTCCTCTTATGGGTATCACTTCTTTCCCTTCTTGTTGGTTTATATTTTCGTTTTCTGTATTGGTATTCTGGTGTGTTATGTGTTTGTTTTCTCTTTGGTTTTGTTTATGCTTTCGAAATTCTATGAAGATAATCGAGTCAAACTTTGTTTTTTTGTTTATTTTTTTATTTTTATGTTGAAGCTTAATTTAGCTTAGTCTGTTGTTAATTCTTCACTCGCGATGATGCTGAGAGTCGAGTGTGAGAACTGAGAAGCCACAGTGTCAAGTTTTGTTGTTTTTTGATAAATTTAATATTTTTATTTATTTTTTTTTTATATATATAATTTTTGTGGTGAAAAATCATTTGGTTGAGAAAAGAGTTTGGTGGCATGCACTGATGCACAAGGCAAGCATGTTAGCGGGTCCCATAGAGTTAAGGTTGTCCTAACGCAATATCAGGGGCTGTTAACTACAGAGGAAACTCATTTAGAATACACTGTTAAGCTAATTAATAAGATAAGATCTGAGAAAAAAAAAAAAAAAAACTGTTCTGGGGCTTTTCTCAGTCTTTGCATAGGTGCTGCATGCTCCGGTGAGTTTTTATGGGTTTGATTTTCTATGTTTACAAATTACAATATTAATAGATGTTGAATTAAGATTGCTTATAGTGTTTGAGTGATGTTCCATTTTACAAAATTATGGGTGGATGGTCATGTATAAGCTTATTCTTAGTTTGGTTTTTGGTATTTGGAAGTGAGGGTTTGGTGAATGAAGCTGGGATTTTGGTTGTAGATTTGTTAGTTTGTTTGCATACTTGGTCTCTTGCTTATTTGAGCATACTTGGTCTCTTGCTTATTTGAGCATACTTGATACAGATTAAGTCAACTTTTTATGCAGTGGATTAACATCAGCTGATTTTGGACATACTTTAGTAGTAATGAACTCTTAAATGGGAACTTGATGCTAAACTTTGTGTATAATCATCCATTATGAACTGTTTCCAAGTTTGCATCTCTATGTGTTTTCTATTGTTTTTTTTTCTAAGTGTCAGATTACTTGAAAATGCTCTCCAAAGCAATTATTTTTATTATTTTATAACTGAAGTTTGGATACTGACAATGGTTGGTTGATTTTGTTGTCAGGTGAGTTTTGATGAAGCTCTGAAGGGAGGTCACTTTTAGTGAAAAGTAACCTGTATCATGTCTGATCATGTTATACAATCAGATCATGATGGTGATAGAATGCGTAGACAACCTATGCATCTTTACCAATCGGTCTGGATGGCTCACTGGACGCAGACAAGTTGTAATTCTGAAACCCGGGATGATAGACCTTTATCATTTCATTGTCAGTGCAAAGAAGATGATTGTGATTCTAAGCAACATGGACCTGAGATACAATCTGGCATTTCTAAACATGCCAAAGAATTTGGAGAAGTTCCTGAATCTAGAACAGATAATATTATGGATGAGAATCTTAAACTGAGTTCGATAAAAAGTGGAAAAGAAATATTACAGAGCCAGTTCTTTCCGAAGTTCAGTCTTTCTAAAAAGGAGAGTACTATGCCACTGAAGAATGTCTCGACCTATCAAGGGGCAGTTCCTGAAATGGGAACATCTGGAGAATGTCATTTCCAGCATGAAGGTGTCACAGGGGATCAGGAGCAGCGGGTGAAATCTCCTGAATCTCTTGCAAAGAAAAGCTTAGCTGTTTCAACATCTTTTCAGCATGACCTGGGTTCAAGTTCGAAAATTGTGCCTTATAGATACAACAGTAGGAAGCCTCGAATTCATTCCTTATGCAGGCAAGAAGAGATTAATCAAACAAGCCCAGTTGTTGCATCTGAAGAGCACTTCAGAAATTCTAAATTTCAAAGCTGTTCTACATCTTTGGTTCATGATAAGAAAATTGATGACCTGTTAGATTTCAGAAGATCTGGGACTTCATCCTCGAGGCAGAATAATATGCATCTGTTACTGCATGAACCCTCAGCAAGCAACAATCAGCTACCCGTTTTTGTTGGTAAAAAGATAGAAAAAAGGCAAAATCATTCTGGTGCTACATTGTTTCCAAACTGGAGCAATCCAATAGATGCAACCAAAACAGGAACTTCATTTAATGATTTTTTCTCAGTACCAAGAATCCCACGATCTCTTGATGATGTGGAGACGATGAGGATATGTACCACTGAAGGGCATCCCAAGTTTTCTGAGACTACTCACCATTTTCTAATCACTAAGAAGACTGATGTTAACTCGTCAAAAGGAAGTGAAATGTTTAAAGAAAAAATGTTCGGCAAATTCCTCAGTCTATCGCCTGATTTTGGTTTCAGTGGCCAGCAAGGAGTGAAACTCCAACCTCTAGGGAGCACCACAGATAGCGAGGAAAAAAAAAATATTGGAGATATCAAGACTTCTGCAGTTTGTTTAAAGAATGAGTCATCAGCTGACACTGATACCATGGACATGGATGTTTTCCAGAAGAATCATTTTTCTGGTATGCATGCATCCTTGTAATGTTTTCATGACCTAAATGTTTTCATTTCATATGACGCTTATACATTATAAATAGGCTTTTACTACAGGACTGTTCTGTTTATGTCAGGAGATATATATGATCTTCCTGAACTTCACTTAGTAGGTTTATCAATTTCCTTTTAATTTTCCTGTCTAATAAGTTTCTTTCTTTTCTGTTTGTTGTAGTTGTGGTTTCTTCGCCAACTAATGAGGTAATTGTGCTATTCTGATCTGTCAAATGACATATACTTGCACTAAAATTTGAATTACCCCATTCGATCCAGTACTTTTTTTTTTTGTTTTTTTGTTCTTGCTTATTGTAGTCACAATTTCTATCCAGCACCTGATCAGTGAGATAGTTATCTAATGTGCGGGTGATTGAAAGATGATGGGTTATATGGTCTATGATTCTTCTGGTTTATCACTCAAATCAGTGTTCCTAAAGACATTGAAATATGCTAAATATCTTAGGACTATCTTCTTTTTAGTTGCTTTTTATTTCTTCCAATTTTTTTTTTTTTTTTTCATTTGTTAGTACACTTGTGTGTATAACTCTATGGGTGCTGGTGGAATATATTGAGAATATAATTAGATAACATTAGTTTCTAGTGTTGGAACACAACAAGTGGATGTCCAAGGAATTTGGAGAAATGATTGTAGCATTTTAGTTTTCTGAGAACCAGTCTGATTAAAATTAAATGTTAGAATGGGGAGAAATTAATAGATGCTGGCTTATGTGTTCATTGGTTAGTTGGTAATACGGGCTTCAAGTTGATTATACCATTATTTTATCTGTTGATGTATAAGGAGTGCATGTTGTGTTCATTGGGAATCCCTTAGATCTTAGTAATGACTGGAATTTTGTAGGTTATTAAAGAGGACAAAGTAGCAACATCACAAGCTGCCGTTGCTTCAACCAGAGAAGAAATTGGAGGAAGATTGCCTAACATTGAGTTACCTGATATAAACCAAGAGCTTCCTGCACTTTCATCTGTTGCGAACTCTGTGGATGATAGTGAGACAAGCTCCTCAAAAACCCAGAGTTTGGATGCAGAGCATCTCCTTGCACATGCTGAGCTGCCCACAAATTCCAAAACTGGTGCTTTTCCAGATGGTCATATGGGATCAGATCCAAGCATCAGATGGGTTAAACGTCTGAAGTTGAGTGCCCCAGGTTCTTTTGCTTATGGCACTAAGAGTTCTGAAATGGAAGAAGGTTCTGAAATGGAAGAAGCTTCTTCCCATGAGAAAGTTAACAAGTTCGTCAACAAAATCATGAGATGCAACATTACTAGTTCTGAACCCAAAACGGGCAGATGCTTCGGTAAACAACCAATGGCACTGGATCAGACTGCTTGCCTTTTAAAAAATAGAGAGTCTTCTTTCAGTGAAACAGTGAGGAAGACTCAAGACATAAGTCTTTCCAATTGTTGGATTCGTAGATGGTGTCATGATGGAGTTGTATCTCGAACACAGAATCGTGAAGCAGTGACACTTTGTGAGCCACGAAGTTCAAAAGCAACATTTGATGAACTTCAAAAGAAGCAGTTTCCTAGCATAGGTGCTATGGCTCTGATGGGGAAGGCCCTGAACACTTTTCAACCATGTGAATTTAGGAAAGAGGGGTCATATATTGTTTGGAAAACTTAGGGATTCTGAGACGATTCTACACAGATTTTGCAGGGAACAAACAGCAAGCTAAGCAGTCCATAGGATCATTCTGGCAATCATGATATTGGAATTGCTTTTGAAAGGGGAAATGCTTTGGTCATCAGTAACAACAGAATCAGTGGATGTGGAATTTTCTTTAGCGAGAATGTTCCCTTGGTATGTTCTCTGTCCGTATTTGTTTTGGACTTTGTTTTTCATTTTCCATCAGAGTAGGTTTTGTGAATGTGCTGTTCGGATCAGCATTTTATAGAGGCCTTGTCTCTTGAATGTGGGCAATCGATTGGAAGAAGGAAAAAATGAAAAAAAGGGGGAGTGGTAATCAACTGCTTTCACTGTATATTGTATATTTTATTGTACTCTGTCACGCAGCATAAATGCCCCTTTTGGTCCTCCATATTCACTGGAAGGAAAACTGGGAAATGCTTGCAATCAAGAAAATAAAAAAGGTCATACATGAATCCCTGTGAATATATAACTACATTCTAAAATAATTAAATGTAGTTAATTTTAGAGAATGTCACTAAGAGACTGTCAAGTGAACTTAAACGAGTAGAAATATATCTTGCCTTTACGACAGAGATGCTTTCATAGTTATGGTTTTCTGTTCTATCATAATAACAATATAGAGTATTAATCAAATATATGGCTGTCATTTGTCAGAACAACCCAGTAATGATTGTATATTGGTTGGACAATGAAGCTGCGTATATGGATTAACTTAGTGGCAGCAAACAAGGGATGGTCTGGAACTGTTGCGTCATCATTTTCACTGAGCTGAAAATGGAGGAAGGCCCTATGAGAGAAGATTCGTAGGACAAACTTCCCCTTCAGCGATTTTTTTTGTAATATTCCTCACTTATATATGTTTGATTTCATACCACTTGAACCTCCTTTTACCTTTTATTTTTTATTTTTATATCTCTGCATGTGTAATCCTCTTCCTAATGAAGCATGTCGTACAATAGTTGGCCAAGCATTTTATATTCCTAGAAGGGTAATACTACTACATCCACAATCTCTTCTTACAAATTTTCTCTCACAATCCCAACGTGACAGCTTATAATTGGCCAGTCGTAATATATCAGGTAAGACTTATTGCGAGTTGACCAATTACGAATTGTCATGTCGGAGTTGTGTAAGAAAGTTTGTGAGAAGAGGTTTTGGGTGTAGCATTTTCTTTTCTAGTGTCCACTATGCTGCATTAATTGATTGAAGATTAAAGATCTAACCACAAGTTGTGGCATAAAGTGTTTTATGTTCTCATCCATTTGTAAGAATTCATAAATGATCTTTGTTCCCTGTTCCAATTTGCTGTAGTGATAAAGAAGCATTAGCTTAAGTTACAAGCAGTAAACTTGGCATCAATCAGCCTATCGTAAAGACATAAACCTTGTACTCATAGACACCGTTAGATTAATATCTTCTCACTGTTTATTGATCTCTCCATAAGTAAACAAATCAACTATTACGGGCTATGGTTCCATTTTTGACTTTGCATCCGGTCTGTTCTAGAGCAGATTCAAAGAAACCGTCTCCATGAAAACTTGAGTCTATGCAGGGTGGAGCAAATTGAATGATTATGTCTCTTATCGTGAGTAAACCTGTTGCCTGATGTGAATCATTTACCAGAAAACTGAAATTGCTCTTTGTATCAGCCAGCTTCTTCATGGCTTCCTTGAGGGTGTCCATTTTCTTATTAGTCACCGGCTGGTCCATTCTTGGAAGGAAACTGTTTTTTAGGCGGAGAGCCCCTGCTGAGATAAGGGCTCCGATGTCTCGTTCAATGGTGGGGTCGGAGTCTGCTCTACCAGTCTCCATATGAATGAATTCCTCTGTGGTTAGAGTCCTGTGAATATGCTAAATAAGCCTTTCGTATTTTGCTCTTAGTCACACAGTTCAAATGTTTAATCTGGATGGAAATAGCCTTACTCTCTATTGGGGATGAGATTATCATTCTCCAGAAGAAGGTAAATGTCACTTCTTGTGATAGTACCAATAAGTCTCCTGGTTTCTCTTTTAACAACTGCAATTGCATCTACTTGGTTCTTGCATAACATCCGAAGACCTTCTGCTAAGCTTTGGTCTCCACATACTTGAACGACATGATCTCCATTCTCAAACCTGAAAGTGGAGAAAAACAATACATGTATTGCAACTCAACCATTGAAACTTATTTTCTGTAAGTATTTTGGTTTAGCATACCGGAACTCGGATAAAGCTCTGTCTGCAATTCTATCGAACCAGTCTAGTCCACTTGATTGAAGTAGCAGCTGCATTACTGCACTCTACTGAATTGCAAGCAATTATATATAGGAAAAAGAAGTGAGTCGAGCAATTCGTGAGTTACTCGAGCTCGGCTCGTGAAAAGCTCAAATTCGATTCGAAGTCAATCTAGTTGAGCTCGAGTGGCTCGTTTAAGGGGTCAAGCCGAGTTTGATTCGGGCGAAACTCGGCTAGATAGGCTCGCAAGCCTCATCGTGCTCAGGGGCCAAATTACAAGTTTTGTTACTTTTTTTATTTCCAAGTTTTTAAAATGACAAACAACCCCATTCTCATAATAAACTCGAAGTTTGAGCTAGAGTATCCACCCATACTCGTGAACTCGAGCTCGAGCCCAACTATTCAAGCTCAAACGAGCTCGGCTCAAACTCGACACTGTTCATCATGAACTGAGCTCAAGTGTCCATATACTCTGCTCTGCTCGGCTCATATACACCCCTAAATTTATATATCAAGCAAACATGAATTTAGCAAATTGTACCAGTTACACTGCGGATTACAATTACTTAGATTTCTCAATTTACCAACATTATCTATATAGCCGGAGAATCTTACCTGTGTAACAAAACCAATGACCTGCGATTTTGGTTGCTCTACGACAGGCACGACTTGTAGGCGGTGCTTCGAAAGCAGTAGCAGAACATGAAAGAGCGTGTCATCTAAGCGCACAGGGAAGAAGGGATCCCATAGAAATTCTGTAGCTAGCTCACCGATCTGTTATACTTGGGGCAAAACAAAAGTAAACCATTGTATTCAACAGTCATGTATCTTATTTGAACATAAAATAAACCAATAAAAGTGAGCAAAAGAACCTTGGTGTGGCCAATTTGAGGATTTTGATCAAGCATGGTGAAGAAACTCTCACCACCATTTTCTTTGGTTTTAACATGGGGTTTTTCACATTTGTGCAGTGACCAAAGAAAGATGCTCGCAAAATCAATAAAACCAATATACCGATCCGAAAATCTTGCAATGGTTGTTGCATCAGGGTCTAAAGCATCAGCAATGGGCGCAGCACATACATCCCTCTCATACAACATTTGTATAGCTTCCCTTACACCATGCCCAGCATTCAGTTCCAAAATTTGTATTTCTTTCCCAACACACCCAAAAAAAAAAAAAAAAAAAAAAAAGAACGGGGGAAAAAAAGTTCCATAAGTTCATCAAATGAAGCATGTTGAGAAAGAAAAGAAATGTTATATAGTGATACCAGGTGAGTTTTTGATGCCAGGAATTGAAGTGATGGGAATGCGATCAAGAAAGAGTTGAAGAGCAGAGCCAGAATCGAGTTCTGGTTTGTGTTGAATGTCATCAGAAATGGGGGTCTCAGTCTTCACCACCACGCCAACTTTTGGCTCTTTCATTACATTCTGTAATTGCTTCAAATCCATCTTCCTTGATCCTTGCATTGCTTTGGTTTAACTTCTCTGTTTTCTCTCTGCCAAGCCTTTTGTTGATCTTCTTTTGCTCCTCTTTGGAGAGAGAGTGGGACACAAATCATTATTCTAAGGTTCCAGTCAACAAAATCATGAGATGCAACATTACTAGTTCTGAACCCAAAACGGGCAGATGCTTCGGTAAACAACCAATGGCACTGGACCAGGCTGCTTGCTTTTTAAAAAATAGAGAGTCTTCTTTCAGTGAAACAGTGAGGAAGACTCAAGACGTAAGTCTTTCCAATTGTTGGATTCGTAGATGGTGTCATGATGGAGCTGTATCTCGAACACAGAATCGTGAAGCAGTGACACTTTGTGAGCCACGAAGTTCAAAAGCAACATTTGATGAACTTCAAAAGAAGCAGTTTCCTAGCATAGGTGCTATGGCTCTGATGGGGAAGGCCCTGAACACTTTTCAACCATGTGAATTTAGGAAAGAGGGGTCATATATTGTTTGGAAAACTTAGGGATTCTGAGACGATTCTACACAGATTTTGCAGGGAACAAACAGCAAGCTAAGCAGTCCATAGGATCATTCTGGCAATCATGATATTGGAATTGCTTTTGAAAGGGGAAATGCTTTGGTCATCAGTAACAACAGAATCAGTGGATGTGGAATTTTCTTTAGCGAGAATGTTCCCTTGGTATGTTCTCTGTCCGTATTTGTTTTGGACTTTGTTTTTCATTTTCCATCAGAGTAGGTTTTGTGAATGTGCTGTTCGGATCAGCATTTTATAGAGGCCTTGTCTCTTGAATGTGGGCAATCGATTGGAAGAAGGAAAAAATGAAAAAAAGGGGGAGTGGTAATCAACTGCTTTCACTGTATATTGTATATTTTATTGTACTCTGTCACGCAGCATAAATGCCCCTTTTGGTCCTCCATATTCACTGGAAGGAAAACTGGGAAATGCTTGCAATCAAGAAAATAAAAAAGGTCATACATGAATCCCTGTGAATATATAACTACAGTCTAAAATAATTAAATGTAGTTAATTATAGAGAATGTCACTAAGAGACTGTCAAGTGAACTTAAACGAGTAGAAATATATCTTGCCTTTACGACAGAGATGCTTTCATAGTTATGGTTTTCTGTTCTATCATAATAACAATATAGAGTATTAATCAAATATATGGCTGTCATTTGTCAGAACAACCCAGTAATGATTGTATATTGGTTGGACAATGAAGCTGCATATATGGATTAACTTAGTGGCAGCTAACAAGGGATGGTCTGGAACTGTTGCGTCATCATTTTCACTGAGCTGAAAATGGAGGAAGGCCCTATGAGAGAAGATTCGTAGGACAAACTTCCCCTTCAGCGATTTTTTTTGTAATATTCCTCACTTATATGTGTTTGATTTCATACCAGTTGAGCTTCCTTTTACCTTTTTTTTTTATTTTTATTTTTATATCTCTGCATGTGTAATCTTCTTCCTAATGAAGCATGTCGTACAATAGTTGACCAAGTATTTTATATTCCTAGAAGAGTAATACTACACCCACAATCTATTTTTACAAACTTTCTTTTACAATTTTAACATGATATCTCGTAATTGGTCAGTCGTAATTTACCAGGTAAGACTTATTACGAACTATTATGTCGGGTTGTGTGAGAAAGTTTGTGAGAAGAGGTTATGAGTGTAGCATTTTCCTTCCTAGTGACCACTACGCTGCATTAATTGATTGAAGATTAAAGATCTGAACCACAAGTTGTGGCATAAAGTGTTTTATGTTCTCATCCGTTTGTAAGAATTCATAAATGATCTTTGTTCCTGTTCCAACTTGCTGCAGTGGTAAAGAAGCATTAGCTTAAGTTACAAGCAGTAAACTTGGCATCAATCAGCCTATCGTAAAGACATAAACCTTGTACTCATAGACACCGTTAGATTAATATCTTCTCACTGTTTATTGATGTCTCCATAAGTAAACAAATCAACTATTACGAGCTATGGTTCCATTTTTGACTTTGCATCCGGTCTGTTCAAGAGCAGATTCAAAGAAACCGTCTCCATGAAAACTTGAGTCTATGCAGGGTGGAGCAAATTGAATGATTATGTCTCTTATCGTGAGTAAACCTGTTGCCTGATGTGAATCATTTACCAGAAAACTGAAATTGCTCTTTGTATCAGCCAGCTTCTTCATGGCTTCCTTGAGGGTGTCCATTTTCTTATTAGTCACCGGCTGGTCCATTCTTGGAAGGAAACTGTTTTTTAGGCGGAGAGCCCCTGCTGAGATAAGGGCTCCGATGTCTCGTTCAATGGTGGGGTCGGAGTCTGCTCTACCAGTCTCCATGTGAATGAATTCCTCTGTGGTTAGAGTCCTGTGAATATGCTAAATAAGCCATTCGTATTTTGCTCTTAGTCACACAGTTCAAATGTTTAATCTGGATGGAAATAGCCTTACTCTTTATTGGGGATGAGATTATCATTCTCCAGAAGAAGGTAAATGTCACTTCTCCTGATAGTACCAATAAGTCTCCTGGTTTCTCTTTTAACAACTGCAATTGCATCTACTTGGTTCTTGCATAACATCCGAAGACCTTCTGCTAAGCTTTGGTCTCCACATACTTGAACGACATGATCTCCATTCTCAAACCTGAAAGTGGAGAAAAACAATACATGTATTGCAACTCAACCATTGAAACTTATTTTCTGTAAGTATTTTGGTTTAGCATACCGGAACTCGGATAAAGCTCTGTCTGCAATTCTATCGAACCAGTCTAGTCCACTTGATTGAAGTAGCAGCTGCATTACTGCACTCTACTGAATTGCAAGCAATTATATATAGGAAAAAGAAGTGAGTCGAGCAATTCGTGAGTTACTCGAGCTCGGCTCGTGAAAAGCTCAAATTCGATTCGAAGTCAATCTAGTTGAGCTCGAGTGGCTCGTTTAAGGGGTCAAGCCGAGTTTGATTCGGGCGAATCTCGGCTCGATAGGCTCGCAAGCCTCATCGTGCTTGGGGGCCAAATTACAAGTTTTGTTACTTTTTTTATTTCCAAGTTTTTAAAATGACAAACAACCCCATTCTCATAATAAACTCGAAGTTTGAGCTAGAGTATCCACCCATACTCGTGAACTCGAGCTCGAGCCCAACTATTCAAGCTCAAACGAGCTCGGCTCGAACTCGACACTGTTCATCATGAACTGAGCTCAAGTGTCCATATACTCTGCTCTGCTCGGCTCATATACACCCCTAAATTTATATATCAAGCAAACATGAATTTAGCAAATTGTACCAGTTACATTGCGGATTACAATTACTTAGATTTCTCAATTTACCAACATTATCTATATAGCCGGAGAATCTTACCTGTGTAACAAAACCAATGACCTGCGATTTTGGTTGCTCTACGACAGGCACGACTTGTAGGCGGTGCTTCGAAAGCAGTAGCAGAACATGAAAGAGCGTGTCATCTAAGCGCACAGGGAAGAAGGGATCCCATAGAAATTCTGTAGCTAGCTCACCGATCTGTTATACTTGGGGCAAAACAAAAGTAAACCATTGTATTCAACAGTCATGTATCTTATTTGAACATAAAATAAACCAATAAAAGTGAGCAAAAGAACCTTGGTCTGGCCAATTTGAGGATTTTGATCAAGCATGGTGAAGAAACTCTCACCAGCATTTTCTTTGGTTTTAACATGGGGTTTTTCACATTTGTGCAGTGACCAAAGAAGGATGCTCGCAAAATCAATAAAACCAATATACCGATCCGAAAATCTTGCAATGGTTGTTGCATCAGGGTCTAAAGCATCAGCAATGGGCGCAGCACATACATCTCTCTCATACAACATTTGTATAGCTTCCCTTACACCATGCCCAGCATTCAGTTCCAAAATTTGTATTTCTTTCCCAACACACCCAAAAAAAAAAAAAAAAAAAAAAAAGAACGGGGGAAAAAAAGTTCCATAAGTTCATCAAATGAAGCATGTTGAGAAAGAAAAGAAATGTTATATAGTGATACCAGGTGAGTTTTTGATGCCAGGAATTGAAGTGATGGGAATGCGATCAAGAAAGAGTTGAAGAGCAGAGCCAGAATCGAGTTCTGGTTTGTATTGAATGTCATCAGAAATGTGGGTCTCATTCTTCACCACCACGCCAACTTTTGGCTCTTTCATTACATTCTGTAATTGCTTCAAATCCATCTTCCTTGATTCTTGCATTGCTTTGGTTTAACTTCTCTGTTTTCTCTCTGCCAAGCCTTTTGTTGATCTTCTTTTGCTCCTCTTTGGGGAGAGAGTGGGACACAAATCATTATTCTAAGGTTCCATGTTTCAGTTCGAAAACAATAAGAATTTTTCAACCTGCCAAGTGTCATTTATCAATATGCCTTATTCTACCCATAAAAAGATTGAACTTTTAAAATGCACGTGTATAACACTGTTATAGCTAGAGTCCAAAAACCAGAGTTGTTTTCAGAGTAATACTATGCTGACAAACGAATATCATAAATTGATGTATTACCTGAGTTGGCATTAACACATCAACTGATGACTTTGATTAAATATGAACGGTCGCTTTTTAGGAAAGAACAGTCAAGAAGAATAGTCGTTCTTTATGAATAAACAACTATTCATTATAAAGGAACAACCATTCCTTCATACGGAATGGCCATTTCTTATGAATGAATAATCATTCTTTCTTTACACATGACCATTCCTTTAAGGAACAAACCGTTTCATAAGGAAGGAATAACCGTTCCTTAGAGAAGAATGATCATTTTTTCTGTGAAGAACAATCATTCCTTTTATAAACAACCGTTTCTTGAGTCTAATCAAAATCATTTTGTACCTTAAGTGCACGTTAAGGTTTGCAAAAGAAGTTTGTCCGTTTATCTTTATTCTTATTTTCATAAACTACTTGAACTTATTGTTACATATATAATTCAATCAACTATTATTATTTTATTATTTCTAATACCATGCCATAGTAGCACTATTTAGATGACAGAGACGCAGCCTGCGGATCAGTCCTCTGGTTTATTTTACAACTTTTGGCATCTGTAGATTGCCCAAAGCTCAATTTATACATGTGGGACAGCAACTTCT